TCTCGCCTGCCAGCACCCGGTTTTTGTCAACTGGCTAGGATTCTCCGGGATTGCTACATTTTTAGGCATATTTTTAGGTTATCTGGGTTCTTCATTTATGCATAAATTATGGTATTTAATAACATTTAAATTAAGTGTCCCAGGTTGATGTGAGGTTCAGCACATCAGAACCTCTGTGTTAAGATATTTTTATGCCTGACCAGGGTTGAAAAGCCGCTTCGCGTCTTTTCAACCCTGGCCCCCCGTCTAGCGTCATAATATGCTTCAATTTGCATAATTCTCGCGAATTCCGATGACAAAAAATGAAAATCTCTCCCTCCGCCCACTATATAGGCTCGCGCCTTTTCCGGCATATGCTAATTGATTCCTAACAAAGTGGGTACTCCATTTTCTAACAAAAACTTAATTTTAACGTCGAAAATAGCATAATTTGCAAAATCTGATGTGTGTGCAGTCATCTCATGACGCACCTAATGACGTATCATACGTTGCTTAAAACCCTTTCCTCTCGAGATATCCTCCGGACACCCTGACGGAAGTTGCATGCAAAGTGGCACACACACACACAAACACACAGACACTATTTTTTTATATATAGTAGGATTGAAGAAAACTAGTTACTTATAAAGTGCTCTTAAATATCACTTTTTGGAAATATTGATTGAACTTCACTTCCCCTCCCAATAGTATAGTAACCCGTCATCCATCTCATTTCCAATCTGCACCCCGCACTTTTTTCAAACTTAATACCTCAAGTCTGACCATGACAATGATTTCCTACACAGTAAAAACACGGTGCCTCGGCGGGATTTGCACGGATAGCCCAAAATATTCTTCTGAGCAGATTCTACTGTAAGAACTTTTTGGCATTTCCGTTTTCTGGCCCTCAAAAAGCCTTGTATTTTCCCCTTGAAACAAATTCTCTCGTGTTTTCAATTATCCGCCTTTCAAGCTCATCTGGGTCCAATGACGGGTATTTATGTGCCATATTTCATAAGTGGCTCCCCCCCTTCTGTGTTGTCCTCTAGGGCCTGGGGTTGGACGTCAAAGGCACCTATTTCGGGGATTATGCGTGGAAAGGCGTCTGAAATGACATCCGAGGCATTTTTTTGTTTGATGTGAGGGTTTGATCAGATAATTTGAATGGAATCAGATTTGCGCAATTCACAGAGCCGGATCCAATTGAAAAACACTTTAGAAAGATTTAGTTATATTAGTAATAAATTAATTAAATGCTTGTGTAAAGCATGGATTGATGAATATATATCTAACATGGTCGTCTCCTTAGTCTCATTAGTGTGCAGGTGCTGAAATTTCTAAGAATTCTATTTGCTACCGCCCAGCTTCTCTCGTTCAACCCCTGAAGCTAATCAAAAAGCTCGAATGCAACCCCTTAACGCATCAATGATTAATATTTCATGCAAGTTACGTTTACGTTCCAATTTACGCCGAAAGAAACCCCCCCTTGTGTGTTGCCTAATGATTTCGCGACGCGCGCAAGAAGTGCCCTTTGCTCCACCTTTCCGACCATCTAGCGCAATATTTTGCCCTTGTGAAATGAGATAAAAGTCGAGCCTGGCTCGTCGTTCATCTCCCCCCTTCCATCCGCTAACGAGCTATTTTTGTAAGCCGGGTTTTAGTGGGGCTGGGGTGCCCCCGTTTCTGCGTCACAACAATTACCAACGAGTCAGCTTTTGCTCTTCTCTTTTCAGCTATCTCGCGCGCGTATTTCCTTGGAGGCCACCGACCGGTCGGCCATCCCATCCTCTTGTGCGCAATTTCGTGAGAAAGTCGCCGAGAATTTCAAAAGAAAGCCCCCCCCCCCCCCCTTTTTCGGAGGCATGCGTTCCTTTGTGGCTTTGTGCATTGAACACGTTGAGCATGTGTAGTGGGCTTCCGCGGTGGGCCCCAATTTTTGGCCGCAGCGAATAATAACGGGGACTGGTTTTTTGGCAACGAGGTCCTTACCTTGGGATTTTCCGGAAAAGCGACTACATTTCGGTTTCTGGGGGCAGCTGTAGTTTTTTTAAAGTTTTTTTTTTTAATAGTGTTAGATACGATTCCTGTTGTTTTTGTCGGGTTGGAAAGCCTATGGTTTGATCGACCTTGATGACCGAAAAAAAACTGATTTTTGATTTGTTGCTTTAAGCAAATTATATGTTTACAACCATGATGAGAAAATACTGTGTAGCAGATGTAAAAAATTCAATAAATGAGGTTGGCTATAATAGTCATTAAGAATAATATCTTTCGTAATTGAAATCCAAAACTTCATACATCCAAAAACCCAAAACCTAATGACGTCGGAAAGTGCGATTCCAAGGATACTTAGACATAGAACTAAGAACAGAGCATATGGTTTTGATTAGAAAGTAGAGCCTGAGCTACCCCATGAGCAACCTTTGGCATCCGGGATCGGATCCACATGAGCCAGCAAGCAGGAGATTTCCACTCGTCCCGATTTCCCCTTTTGGCTGAAGGGCTTTCTTCCGAACAAAAAAAAGCGCGCCGAGAAGCCCTTATCCTTTTATCCACTTCTTCACACAACCCCGAAAGGTTGCCTCCGTTAAGGAAAGGTCATCGGGGCTCTTTGTGATCACTTTTTATGGTTTGGAAAGTTTACCAATCGAAGATTTTATTTTAAGTAGGTTTTACAGTTTGTTTTTATTATCAAAGATTAAACTGCTTCAATACCAAAAAATGTGGGTTCTTTTTTGGGTTGTGCCCGGTTTCCCACGGCCAAGAAAATTCTAGGGCGCAAATTTTGTACTAAAAGTTGGTCAGCCTCAACTTAGGCTGCCTATTTATGCCGTAGCATTTCCTTTGGCCGTCTATTACCAAAATACCGTGTTTCTTGGGCGAAATACTCCTATTAATGCCTATCGAGCTGGAAATATAGAATTTTAACCCCTAAACAATTTTTCGCGTAGAATTTTTTATGGGAATGTCTATTATATGAATATCACGTTTGTAAAGGCGCCAAATTTTTGTTAAAGCGTATCACGCATAAAATTTAAAATTTTTGATCTGCAAGATAACCTCTATCACGAAAAGGACCACAAAATTGCAACCAACTCATATAAACCGCCCTTATTTTCGACATGTCTACTCGAAAAGCGTCTTTCTGCCGACAGCCGCCGTGCAGCTCTTTTCATCTTGGGATTCCTCCCTTAATTAGACGTGGGAGCAAACAACGGTTGGCTGGGCTTGAATGGCTCTGCCAAGCGGTTGATTTGGGCCCTAGATTTTGTTCAGTCAAACGTTGCCTCTAATCCTAAGCGGTCTCCCTCTCTACCCAGCTATTATTCATCTTTGTACTAACTTTTTCGCCGCCCCGGAAATGGTTGGTAACGTTTTTTATTAGCCAGACGTTCGCAAAGATTTTTCGGTGGCAGATGACAATCTTTCTGGTAGCAATTTTCGGGCACTCTAATCGCTTTGTTTTCAAAAAGTTCGCATTCCTGAAAGATTGGCTTTAGGGATTCCCTCGCGCCGGCTTAACTGGAATAAAAATTTCTCTAGCTTTGGGTGCTCAACAAAATGACCCCACGGGCTATCTTTTAGCATTCCAAGTAGAATAGAACCACTACCTCATCGATTCGCCACAGATTCCGCTTTATCGTCCAATTCATGCATTTATTAGCTTTACGACGCACGCTCCGGGCAATCCCTGGTCCCTTACCAGCTGGTCACAATCCTGAGGATCTTATTTTAAGCTTAGAAAGTTGTCGGGAAATCTGAGAGAATCGAATTTGCTTCAAAGAAAAGCAAAAACCGAGAAAAAAGGCTGGGGATCAGAATATAGATGTGTGGGTGGATGGGCAAAATCGTAGGCGGGGCTTGTGAAGGTGGCGATTAACAAAGTAGATGGGTGGGGTGTGCAATTTTCCAGAACGGTACGTTCTTTAGGAAGCGATGAATTGCTAGTAGATTTGATAATTGGCCGCTGGCCCACATTTTTTGTCGATGATGTGTTTATTTTGTTTTTGTAGGTGGATAGACGTGCTGATTTTTCATTAATTTAATTTTTTAACGAATTAAACATTTTTACTCGACGTTCCAACCCCGATTAATTGTATAAAGTTAGGAACTATTTTTGATATGCTTATATTCGTGATATTCCTAAACCTGCGTGAAAATTCAGGGGCTCAGAAATTTATCGGAAATCTCGAAACCATTTGCTTAAAGCGCACGTTCAGGGAGGGGCCGTGTACTCGTCCCAACGTGTACACCCTATGGACGTAGGGACCGCGCGCACTGACTGCCCGTGCTGTGACAGGCCATTCCCCTCCTTTGCGGGGTGAGGCACCCCTCGGCCCCTCGCCAGGTTGTAGCTGTGGCTGACTGGTACCCATCCGCGCCTCCCGAGCGGGGGGGCCCGGGTTCGACCCCCGGCCGCGGCAAAGCTCTTTGCTTTTTTTCCAAAAAACGTCCCTGAACGTGCCCTTTAAACAACAATATTTGCATGGACCATTCACTTGACTTTTTAGGATGGAGTCTTTTGAGAGGCATATTCTAACGATATTTATTTCTAGATTAGAAAAATATTTTTAATTTTCTGTAAACTGGACTAAATTGGTGTTAGCTATGAATTTAGTAATGGCTACAGCTGGGAAAGAACTGCTATTATGGGAAATTTAATTATTACAAATCCACCCTAGCTATTTACTAGCTGGCCGTGGAGGCTTAATGATTACAAAGCTATCCTTTTTTCAGGCGGCCAGAGTGAGCGGTGGAGGTGGCGGAAACGGTGCGAGTGGTGGTTCATCATCCCATCCATCAGGAGGTCATCATCCCCCACAACCATCATCAGCAACCGGCAGTGAACGCGACGGCTCGACCGGCCATCGCAAGGTGCTCTTCACAGATCCAGGTATGTGTCACATCCCACCCCAGACCCGATGGGTCTTCCTCCCATTCTATTTTGTGCCCTTCTTCCCCCCGTTCCTGCCCTCCCGATCCCTCCCTTCTCCTTCTCCGGCATATCCAGTCAGTCTGCCATGCATCCCCAATCCCCCCTCGTTCCCTTCATCACCATCTCCGCTTCAGAAGCCAACGCCGACGAGGCCGACAATCAGCAGCGCTGTCTTCTATCACCTAGCAGAGCTGATGTAAGTGGCGGCTATCTTTGTTCTTTCTTGTGTGGGGAGGGTTATTTATTATTAAAGAAGGGAGTGGGGGCGAGGCAGTTTTTGGTCACTAGTTGTTTTTGCAGAGCCTTTGGTTGTTCTTCTAGTTTGCAATGGCACTATAACCCAAATAAAAATTAATTTACATAAAAAATGTTTGTAGTTTTGAATGTAACTTTGTGCAACTTCTGGCAGTATGTTGCAGCGGTATGTAAATAAGGGAATATTTCACCGGATTTTTAATTTAGCGTTGTAATACAAGGGTATTTAGCTTACCACCTACCTATCAAATTTCTTAAAATTACCGTTTTTCGTTAATAAAATTGAGTCATCGTGAAATATTCAGTTCCATCCTTAACTAGCAAAAAATTAGCGCCTACCGGAAGTGGGATACTTTTATAAAAAGGGCAAAAACATTTTTCATATTTTTTCATCACGTGTGTCCGAGTAGACGCAATGGTTGAAAAACCAGGAAGCTGTTTTCTCGCCCTAATTTTCTCAGAACGATTTTTAGAGCCTCCGGCAGCGGAACGTCGTCCAACGCAAAATGTCGCTGGTCGGCAAACCGCTCGCCTATAAAAACTACAGGACCGATCAACGGTTCCGCCGGGTCCAAAACAAGATGCACAACTTCCTGGAGCGGCCCCGCGGATGGAAGGCCGCATCATACCATTTGGCAGTGTAGGCGAAAATCCGGTATTTCTCAAATTACGCACACGGATTACAGGCTGGTGATGGTGCTCATGTGCTTAGCCCTGTCTGTTTTCTCGACAATGCCGGATTTTGAGAAGAACGCGACATTGATTTTGTATTACATTGTGAGTGGAATTACTGGGAGTACCCGTGGATTAAACTATACATTACTAAAAAAGTTTCGAGAAAAAAATGATCTAGTATTTTTTAGGAAATAGTATTTGTCATATGGCTAGCCATCGAATACGTATGTCGGGTCTGGTCGGCGGGTTGTCGTTCAAGATACCGCGGAATTGTTGGCCGAATTCGGTTTGCCACCTCCGCATATTGTATAATAGGTAAATCAACGTATTAACAAATTCACTATTATACTTTTAGATATAATCGTGATTGTAGCTTCGATTATTGTTTTGGTCATTGGCGCAACGGGTCAAGTCGGTTAAACCCAAAAAACTTTGACCTTCTCAGGTATTTGCTGCCTCGGCTATACGGGGTCTACGGTTTTTTCAAATTTTGCGTATGCTACGGATCGACCGCCGAGCAGGGACGTGGAAATTGTTAGGCAGCGTTGTTTGGGCGCATCGACAGGTTTTGAATTTTAACGAATCGCTATGTACTTCATTATAGGAATTACTTACAACCTTATACATCGGTTTCTTGGGCCTTATTTTTTCATCGTTCCTTGTGTATCTATGCGAGAAAAACACCAACGATAAGTATAGTACTTTTGCGGATGCGCTGTGGTGGGGAGTGGTGAGTTTCAATTTTTAATTTATAAGCAATGAAAAATCACAGATCACACTATCTACAGTCGGCTACGGCGACAAGACACCAGAGACCTGGCCGGGCAAGATAATTGGAGCATTCTGTGCCCTGCTCGGCATCTCATTCTTTGCACTTCCTGCCGGCATCCTCGGCTCCGGCTTTGCCCTCAAGGTCCAGCAGCATCAACGCCAGAAGCATCTAATCAGGTGGAAATACTTAATGTTTATTGCTCTGTTCCTCTTCCGTTAGTTCCGGAGGGCTTTGATGTTGGGAGGGAGAGTCGGGCGGGGCATGAGATGTATGTGGGAAAATAAACTCCTGAGGCGGGAGTTATTGACTTTTGGGTTATAGTAGCAGAGCAATATCAGATTACCCACGTGTGCAGTGAAGTAAAATGAACAATAAAATAGCTAATTAGTTGCAAGTTTGGAATATAAGTGATTTTATAATTTTGTTGGTTATTCCAGACGACGTGTACCTGCCGCTCGACTAATCCAATGCCTTTGGCGACACTATTCGGCAGCGCCGGAAAGTTGTTCTGTCGCAACGTGGAAAGTTCATCTAGCTCCTGCTGCATCTCCGCCAATGTAAGTATTTTTGAGTTATGCTTCTTCTATGATGGTTGACCTCTTCTGTCTGGTATCAGGAATTGCAAAGACATCGAAAAGTAAAATTGTGGTTGGACTTTCTAACTCATCCAAACTCTCACAACTCGATTTGAAAGTTAAATTGATTAAATCGTCCAAGCGATTAGCCTTGGGAATCTCGAAATCTGGATCTTAATATTCTCTCCTCCTCTCCTGCTATCGTCTCCTGTATCCCGCCCTTCCCTTCTCATCTTTCTTTCCATCAGACAAACACCGGTACGCACCGGAAGCAAGCGACGCGCCCTATCCCTACGATGGAAGCGCTCCGGCTCGGCAAAACATTCAAGCAACCAACCGCCATCACCATCACCGCTTATCGGCAACAACGGCAGAAAAGAATTCTTCGATGATGATGAGAAACCGGCAAGGTGGTAGTAGTCGACTAACCATTGCCTGTATTTCCTGCCGAGATGATCCCTTATTTCCTTATTATCGTGTGGTCGCCCAGCATCTACCATCACAAATGCTTGCTTCGGATCTTTCTTTCAGCCATTTTTTATCTAATAATTTTTTTTTTCATTTCGTTAGCGTTTGAATTAGACTCACATTTGTGTTTGAATAGATAGCACGTAACAATCGTCAATCATATTTAAATATGACTTTAGTATCAAGACACCGCAAGGGAACGGCGGGCCAAACTCGTTGATTAGTCGGATTCGACAGTCCACAAAACGAAAAACAAATTCAAGTAGGATAAAATGTTTATGTTAATTTTTGGGGGGTTTAGATAGCCAGACGCTAAATTCGCCCGCAAACAACACTGGGAGCATGCCGGCGATGAAAAATTTGTTGGTACCAAAGCCGAGTGATAATATTAGGTGGATTTATGTAATACGGTGTAATTAACCACATTTATAGTATCGTCTCCACCTCGGATATCAGCGAGCTGGAGTCGCTCGGCACGCTCGGTTTTTCCCTGGGCAATTGGCGGAGTAAAAGCAAGCGGGATTCGCGGAAGACGGTCGATGACAGTTCTCTGCATCCACGTGTAGCTACTTCGGCTTCACTTGGGAATATGGATTTGGGTAAGTTAATATATTTAAATTTTTTTTTTATGGGGGCTACTTACTCCTTTGGTTGATGCGCACTCGCGTGATATTTTTCCTGGGATAAATTAAAGACTTGGCAGCGCAATTTCCAACCTAATTTAGCATGGATTTTCGTTATTTACTTACCTTTAGCATTTAATAGCAAGCTCAAAATTTTCACTCAAAAAAAAATATAATTATTTTGATCTTTCGGTGGCTAGTCTAGGCTAGACCCGTTGCATGGGCGTGTTGAGCGATTCACGGTTGTATGTTCGGAATGTCCTGCCTGAAAAGGCGCTGTCCTCCGATCTGTCCGCGTTTCTAAACGGAAAGTATTCGACCAACACGCCCCCTGCCTCGGCTCTTCATTTTTGGATTATCGAGTCTCGACCGATCATCTTGAAATTCGCTAGGACTAATTATTTTTAATTCGAATGCGATGCCTTTGTTTCAAAAAGCTTAACGACTTGAGTTTTATTCACAATATCACGATAATTTATCTGAGTGCAAAAACCACTTTTGTCTATTTTCATTGACTAAAAATTTTGGTTTTTTAATATTGAGTTATCGTGTGCTGTATTCACACATCTAGATATCTTATTGATATTTAGGATCATAATTAGCCTGCTAGGCACAGGTTTTGTAGCTCGAGTCCGAAATTGCATTTTGAAATTAGTTTGCATGGGACTAATGACGATGCCCGCAGGCTAGAGTATACCTTAACTTACCAGCTGTTGGTTGAATGCGCTCCGGGGTGCCATTCTGTGTGTCTCGTTATGGGTGAGGAGGAAAGGGGGCATTAGAGTGCGTCATTATATAGCCGCGCGGAACGATTTGCCTTTTCCGCGTATAGGTGGTGGGTCGAAGGAGGAGGAGGCGCTTCGGAAGCATCAGCGCTCGCTGTCACTATGCCGATACCTAGCCGAGGATCGGGATGTCATAGGGGACTACTCGTTGATGGTGGCCCCGCTGTATGAATGGTGCGAGAAGTTGAGAAGGAGGAACACACATCCGTCGCCGCCAATGTGGACGCAGTGCGCTCCAAGATCGCAGGATTCGATCAGCGGTACCGTGCCGACAAGGCTTCTCTACTACCCGGACTGTCGCGTCTTCCCTGCGATTTTTCTGCTTTGCAACCCTTGCATGTCGCTTTTCGACACTATTTGTTTCTGTCACCGCATGCAAGACGTTGGAATCTGATGGGAATTATTAAGTTTAATTCTCTAAGTTTCAAATAACGGTTCCACGGTGTTTCTGACAAAAAGATTATTAACTCTTCAAACTATTTGAAGTAAAATTTACCTTATGTTAAACCCTGTCAGCATTTTATAAGTGAACGGTCTTTTTTTAATAGAATGGATCAACTTCAAAAACGGTTAGTGCATGTGGCTTGTTGCCAGCTGTTTATGCATCCAAAATGCCCGAGATATTGCACTGCAAACCCCACTTTTTTGGACCACGCTGTATTTGGGCTCTCTAATTCAACCCATCAAATTCGTAAAACCTTCTGTCCCGAAAGACAAATACCTTTCAAAATAAGATCGTGTCTTTTCCATGATCGCTTTATTGGCTAGGTTAAATAACTTATCTAAACTTCTGTTTGCAGATGAAGAATCGCCATCTCTACAACCCAAGAACCTTGAAGAATATACGCCAGTGCTGAAGACGGCGATTCGGGCGATTAGGAGAATACAAGTATGTAGACAGTTTTCATATAGAAACGGCGCCTTTTCCAGCTACTCGTCGCCCGTAGAAAGTTCAAAGAGGCTTTGAAACCTTACGACGTGAAGGATGTGATTGAGCAGTATTCTGCTGGTCATGTCGATTTGCAGTCCAGGGTTAAGATTGTCCAGCAGAGGTTAGGGCCGATGAACTTTCTGATGTGTTGATTGTTCAGGTTAGACCTGATTGTCGGGAAGCCATGCGAAAAGACTGAAGTAAAGATTCCGTTGAGTCATCGGGTGATCCATGTGGAAAGACAGGTATCGTTAATGGATCGGCCAACGAAAAATATTTGACCACAGGTCGAACAAATTGATAAGAAGCTTGACATGCTGTTGGAGCTTTTCTTGGAAGATAGAAGCATGAGGACCGGCGGGACGAGCTTCGGAAGGAATAGTCCTCCTCATTCCGCTCATGCAAGGCTTGACGATCGAAATATTGATATTAAGTACGTTTCAAGCCTGTGGTCAATAATACATTTTCACTTGATAATAACTAGTAAAATCACCACCACGATCCTAATCTTACATTTTAGAGAGGGGTTTAAATTCAAGAATTTTCGTCGGTAAGAGTTGTATTTGCGTAGGAATCACAAGCCTCACTCGCAACGTAGACCAAACGCTTCATTAGCCATAGAATTAATTCATAATGTTCGCTTACACTATAAAGGCTGCTTTTTCAGGTCAAACCTAAAAAACCGAAATTATTCGGTTGACGAAGCTGCTGCAAAGATAGCCAGAGCTCGGGTACCGGAGTTGCCTTTGAGGCCGTTACAAAGGCCAGCTCCAAGTCAAGATACGCTAGAGATGTATACTGCCAGGTAAGAACTAAATCAAAACCCTGCCTGCCTTCTACCCTCTAACCCCACACAAAACTACCCTATCGAAAACCTTGCATTGAGCCATTTACCCATCTTAGTTATAATTTTACTCAAGCCCCAAGCCATATGTGAATACCAGCGGGCAAGATTTGTAGTTTGTAGCACCGTACTGTTCCTGTGAATCCTAAAGGTTTGTTGCTACGCGAATAAGTTGAGCATGTCGAATTTTCGGGTTATTTAGCATATTTAGCTTTGCTTCTTTCGGTTTAGAAAAATCTTGATGTTAAATTAACATGAATATTCAGGTCGCGTTCCCCCGGTGCTTCTGAACATTCTCCATTGTTGCGGGGTGATGTTGCAATTGACGTCGATGACGACGACGAATCGGATTATGACGATCGGCCTTTGGGCTGAATTCATGGTCTGCCCCCATTTTCGTGATTTTCATATTTACTTACAGATGGCTCAACTTACAAATGTCCTTGACAAACATTTTTTTAGTAACTAATTTGTAAATTCGTATTCGCGGGACGCTTTCCAGGACAATTAAGAAAACACAGAGATAAAACGTTAAAAATAGGCCCTTGAAGACTGTGTTTCTTTTTAATCACCCGGTGCATATTACCAATGTTTCCATATGTTTACTATAATATTTCGTTGCCCTGTTCATCCAATCCCCTCTACATCGATGATCTCTTCGCGACCAAATTTTCGATACGGCTTTACCAAATTTGCATAATATATTTGCTATCCCGTCTTCATGCTCATATAGTATTTTTCTGTGGAACAAAAATTAAATCAAAGGAATAAAACCTTTTATGGTGCCTGCGCACAGCAAAAATCAGGAAAGCGTTGAAACGAGCTTCTTTGAAATTTAGAAAGCCGCGTAAAGGATAAAATTGCAGATCAGAAGGGTTTTTCGTCGATTGCGAGCATTTTAATGAAAGATATTTGAACGCGCGCACTATTTACCAATACACACCCCGCAGAGTCGAAGTCGAAAGGACTAGCCGCCCGTTTGGCTCGAGGACCACCCTGAGTTTCGGGACCACCCAAGTGGTTGGGGTAGGTCTGAAAGCAGATGCGCGAATGGACCTCCCATGTTCGTGCAGACGCTCGCCAAGCCTTGTAAACTGCTTCAACGTAGAAAAAGCCAAAATGAAGAACATAACCTTTAGAAAAACTCGTGAAAATGTCCCTCAAAATAACATACGGACTCTCTCCCATTCTTATCTCGAAATGTCTACTTTGCTGACAGCTTGATTGGCAAGTAGCTGCTGTTGGCTGCTGTTGTTTTGACATTCTAGACTTCTTAGTTTATCACCAGGGTTGAAAAGCCGCTTCGCGACTCATCAACCCTGGCCCGTCTGCCCCCATTTTATACTTCACTTTGCATAATCTCCTGAATTGAGATGACAAAAATGAAAAACAATCCCTTCTGCGCTCTTATATAGTCGAATCCCCACTTCCGGACCATGCTAATTATTCTTAACAAAGAAGTTTTCACAAAAACCTAAATTTATGATCGAAAATTTATAATTTTGAAAAATCTGATATGTGGGTGGTCATCTCAAGACCGTTGCGCATCTAATGACGTATCATAGATACTTTAAAATTCATCCCCTAGCGAGATATCCTCCGGACAGACAGACGGAAGTGGATGCAAAGTGGCACACACACAAACACACAGACACTTTTTTTATATGTAGTAGGATCCGGAATTAAAAAATCGCCTAAAGCCTAATTTATTCTAATAAACTGTTTATTTAAAGACAAACAAACACAGTCGAACAAAATTCAGTACTTACCCGGCTTATTTTCCTAAAAAGCAAACGCAAAAGGGCATTAGCCGCATAGGGGGCTCGAACCCCTGACATTCAGATTAAAAGTCTGACGCTCTACCAACTGAGCTAATGCGGCACTGGGGGCAGGCGTCTTTTGTGGGGACGTAAAGGAAAGCTCCGCCCCCGAAAAGGCCATCGACGCGTTGAACCCCGCCCCAGCGATGGTGTTTCGGGGCTTGGGAATTTATGGAAAAGAAAAAGAAAATACGACTATAAAATTGAGGATTTTTGAAGACAAAAATGCGAATAGGATGCGATTTTTTCTGAATTAAATATTAATTTGTGGAAAGAGCTGGGGCCGTAAACTATAAAGCTTTAAAAAATTCAGACCCTAAATGTGGTTTGCATAATTTTGTGTCATACAGTTACTAAGTAACAACTTATAAATTACACTTTGCTGACCATTAATCATAAAAAACATCTGCTTCGTCTCTTCCTCGTCTGGATGCCAGCCCGTTTTGTAAAATCACTCCCCTCAATCCCGCCGCATCCCTACCACACACAGACAATCAATGGCCCAGGTTTTTGCCATTTTTGGTCATATCGCCGAACGGCTTCCTTTTTTTGCTGCTTTTATCAACCGATTTGGGGGTAGCCGCGACCGGGTGGCCGCCAAAATAAACAGTCTTCCCTGGGGGAAGATTTACTTCGGCTTTGAACCATGATATTTCTGTTTTTGCTGTATTCAAATCGAGGTCGGCATGGAGTTTGGGCTATAGTGCAAGACGATAAAATCGTCTGGGCCATGAGAGGGGCCAGCCGGCGGTGCGGCGTACGTAGACTGTCGAAATGATTCATGTGGGCTGCCTCCCAAATGGTGAATGGGGGGGGCCTTGGCATAGATTATTTCTCGGTTGCAGCCAAAGCAATTGTTTAATAATTCTGTCTAGACCTAGTGGAAACTATCACTCTCTTCCGGCTTTGGTGTATAATAAAAAAAATACAAGAATGGATATTCTAAGATCTTTTTTTTGTAGTTGTCTGCAATATTCCTAGCATAATTTTAATGCTATTTTAAATGTTGAAGGGCATCTCCACCGTCCTTGTATGCTAATTGTTTCATGAAAGCAGGATAGCCGACTTTTGTACAAAACCGAATACGAGGGTCATAACGTCTTTGCTTTACGCCGATCATCGAGTAGCTATAACGGCCTATTTGGTGCCTAAGAACGTTTTTATATGCACCATAGGCTGTCCTCAAGGTGCTAAACAACCTCCCGGAAGTGGTGCATGCAAATTTACAGTCAGACACACGACTTTTTTTATCATTAGGAGGATAGTATACTGGCTATAATTTTTTCTAGCCCATTAATGAAACATTCCCTCACCGAGGCCTTGGTTCTCACACGCTTTCCCTCATTCCCTATCCCATGGCTCCGGCTCGCTCTTTCCCACCACCCGGTTGTATACCACCCCCCCCGCCCTCGTTTCCCTCACTCCCCCTCCGGGCCCCAAACACCCAAAAGCTTTTGGGCCCCTCTATTCGCCGCTCTCACTACCATATCCCGTTGGGGCCCAGGATTTGGCTACGTGCCAGCCGGGCCTGCAGGAAGCTCTCCCACCAATTGATTACGCACCCGCCAGCGCGGCGCAAATGAGTCATTTTTGACACTTTTTGGGCGAGGTTTCGGCGTGGACGAATCTAGGATGAGTGTGTATTTTGGATGGTTTTAATGGAACTATTCTGCACATAGGGGAGGTTTTAATTAAGATAAATTTTGCATGAATTCGTGTGCTAATTAATTCGCATGAATATTTAGGAGGGAAACAACCTATAACAAAAGGTTTCGGGGCGAGCTTTCTGTCTTGATGAAAATGGCATGTTTGTATTTTATACGGATTTAGTGTTTTTGTGACATGTGAAGAAGGTCTACTTAGGCCAAATAAGCCACGAAGCCTCGAATTAATTAATTCGCATCAATATTTGGGATTAAACTCCCTAAAATCCTGATCTTTGGGCTTTGTATTTGAAAGAAGTCCCACCTCCTCTTTTTTCAGGCCGCTCCTCAAAATTAATCAGAATTTCCTAGATTTGGGCGAGAATTTTACATACATTTACATGCTAATTCGCATATCCGGAGGGATGCATTTCCCTAAAAAATAGCTAGGAGTTTTTTTATTTTAAAGGTGACCAACCTCCAATTTTCTGGGCATTCCCGAACATGAATCAGTATTTCTTAAAATTGCGCAACAATGCGCTGGGGTAATCGTGTGGGTGCGGTTTGCATAGCGAAGAAAGGGGTGCTGACTGACTGGGCGGACTGTGCCGATCTGTCTGTGCAAAACGATGGGGACCCGATCTTGAGGGCAGCCCCGAAAAAAAACATCGAGCCCCCCCTTCTTCACACCCGCGCTGCGGCCGCGATCAAGCGATAACTTGGGCGCTGTGGATGACTCTTTTTCGCGCCCCCCTCTAAATTCCACCATCCGCCGTCTCGCCTTTCCTCAAAATTGAATCCCCGCGCTTTTAAACACTTCCGGACGATCATTTAAACATATCGGCACTTTTAGGCTTTGTTGTAACGAGAGGTGGTTTTCTTAATGCCTCTTTCTTTCACTAAACCTCATGCTTTGAAATAGCAAAGCAATTTACTTGTCTTTCATCTCTCGGAATAGTTTTGTGGGTTTACTTGCGTAACGTTTATTTTGTGTCTTACAAAACGTTTTCCCGCTCCTTCAGTTTCTCGTATAATTATGTAATTACCAGAACAACGTGATATTTTTGCTGAGTCCTAGCTTCCCAAGAATTTTTTCAGAGTTTGTGTACTTTCAGTGCAATCATTTTTGGGGAGGGTAGTGTGGGGCAACGTCTGTGCACGCAGACAAAGACCGTTTTAACTCGCAACTTCCGGCGCCAACCTCCCCTTCCCACGCTCCGCTACCTTCTTTTGATACCTTAGTTCTTTCTCAGCTGATCAGCCGATCGACCGCCCTATTATTTTCACAAACCGCTTTATGCGCTCGTAATTATACCCAGCACAGCCACCGCTCGGAAAAACCCAAATATGCTCGCCTCCCCGGGAGCTGATAATTTTTACGAGCCGAAAGCCGAATGCTCTTTCAGAAAGTCCCTGGGGCGCCAAGATCGTGATGAAGGATAAGAACTCCAAATGGCCCTCCGAGGACATCTTTTTCTATTCCTATCTTCCGTTTGTTTAGGGGCACCTCCCATAGGCACCGATTCCCAGATTCAATGTCCTCTTTCCTTCAAACCATCGATCCATTTTTAATCCTAGACTTTGATTTTCAGGGTAAACCATCGCTTTTTATGTCTTGCTGCATCTTCTTCGACCATGGTGAAGAGATCGAGTAAGGTAGGGAGGTTTTTTTTTATGACTGTTGATTGGTTTTTGGACAAAATACAAGTGAGGAACGAGTTTCCCGGCAATTAAGGCCTGAAAATACAAAAAAGGCGTAGCCAAATGGCTGCTCGGTGAGCACAATGTCGTGAGAAACATCCTAAAAGGGGGCGGGGCTTGGCCTTACTCGATCAAGGGTGCCTACGTGTTAGCATTTGTCGGGCCTGGCCCAAGCGAGTCGGTGTCGGGGCACCCAATGCTTTTTATTGTCTTGCAATGGCTACTGAAAAAGGTTAGATATTATCGCAGACGGTAATCTACGTTTAACTTTGTTTTAAGGGCGATGAGCCGATGCTGGGGACAAAACCCCCGCGAAACGACCCGGGAAAAGGCAGAATTCTGGAAGGAGATGAATATCTGAAAATCCAAGGCTATCGATACCTCAAAAGCAAGAGGGTAAGTTCTACATCTTATATCACATCATACGCCCCTTTTTGAAGGCCCTCAAATGGGTGGCGAGGATCATCACGCTCGGATTCATCCGACTTCTAGAAAATTGGTTCCCAACATTTCGAGCCAAGACTGATGGAAGCATGGACTCGCTAGATACTGCCAATTTCGTCCTGATTAGGTTGGTGATTTTTATTTTTTTTTAATGAGGCATACTGTAGGACCGGCGCCAGCAATTACAAATACCGGGAAATATTTCACGAGGGCCCCTTTGTCTTCAAATCGGTTACGGGTAGAAAACTGGTAAGCCTTTTCGGGGGTTACAAATGATTTTTTTTAGATAAATGACGTGTATCGCCGTTTCTCCTATAGAAAACAGAACTATTTCTGGGTAGAAGAACGCCAGGCTTTTGAAACGGCCGGCCAAATATTCGAAGCGGTACGGAAAATAAGGCAGTGATTTTAAACCTTTTTAGACAACTATTGATGAATATCTTCAATGGGGCGAAGGGAATGGAATAGACGAGAAAATGGAAGCAGAAAAGGTTGGAGTGCTTGGGTTTTCCTTAAAAATCAATTCAGAGAAAAACCAACGGGATGAACGAGATCCAAATCTCTAGAAAGCCGACCTACGAGATCCTTGGAATGGAAGCAATAACACCTTTTACATGCTTCCAAGTTTTCAGGTAACATATTCAATGAGCTCAGCCCCGAATTTAGTGTGGCCGTTTGGCTCTTCGATGAATACGTGTATTTTGCCTGTATCATTGTCGGCGTCACGCTCTACGGGATCTTTACAGCCTATCGCCAGGTGAGAATGTCGAAAGTAGCTACCTGCTTTTCCCCCCCTAGAAGTAGCAGAGGCGATGACCAGGTAATTTAGTTAAAAGCCGCATGCTAAATGAACATTTAATCCCTGCTTTGCAAATAAATTTGATAGGGCGAGGATTTGTGGTTTTCCAGATTCGAAAAATGGAATGTAAACTACGAAGCATGGCTGCACAGCATGGAGAAGGGGTTGTAGAAGTATGGAGAGAAGGGAAAGAGACGCAGATCCGAAGGAATCAGGCAAGCCTTGTCATTTCGCAAGCGTATCAAATTGTAGCTGAATAGGATTGATTATTGTATTTTTCAGTTGGTTCCTGGTGATATTGTATTGCTCCCGAATCACCCAGTCACTTTGCCCTGCGATCTTCTGCTTCTGAACGGTAGCGTGATTCTGAACGAAGCTATGCTTACCGGCGAGAGTGTACCGGTTACAAAGGTAGGTCTTGCTCGTTCTTGCTAGAGACAAATTAAAGAATCGGAGTTTGAAACGATGAGTGCTAAGCTATCCCGAAAAGACTCGCGTGTTCGATATTCAGAGAAAATATTACTGTAAGGGCTTAGGCACAGGAATTTCCAAGCGGGCGCTACCTTTTGAGGGGCCCCGCGCTTTCCCACGCTTGTTTATGCGTTACCGTATCTTGAATGGGTAAGTAGGGGCCAGACTGAAAGCAAATGCAACATTTTTAGGGTCAGACTTGAAGCATAATGAATCTGATTTTAAGACCGCCCTCACTGATATCGAGGACAAAGGCGAGCGACTGGTTGCCGGCCGACACGACAAGTACATCCTGTTCGGCGGTACCGCGATGCTCCAAGCCCGTTATTATCCCGGAAAGCGAGTCAAGGTAAAAAAAAAATGGAAAATTAAATTACGATATGGATTAATTAAACAAATGCTTATCACAACTATCAAACACTTATTTCTTTTTTATTAAATAAAATGTGTGGCATGAATGGTTTGCTGTGGTGGTGGAGCATGATTATTGTGGAGCATTTCTAACAGGAGTGCCTTGGCTAACCGCTAGTTTTAGAATACTACCCACGTGGCTGAGGTAATAACACCCCGATCGAGCCGATATAAAATTAGTGTTTTTGTCCGAATCAGTGTCGTGTGCTTAACCTCGAGCTGCCGCTAGGATATTCTCCTAGACAAAGACAAGCGGAAGTCAGCTCGGCCAAAATTGGTGTTGCCTATATCATGTACCAACCCTACCCTACACAAGTCTACTCGTAAAATTAGTCAGAACTCCTGTCGTGCCTCCATTCCTCTAGTAATTCCATCGCTTCGTACATCCGTATATTCCGGCTAACTACCAAAATGTCTTAAAATGAGCAACCCTTTGTTTTTAACCAATTATCAGACAAGTATTTACTCTGGAATTTTTAGGCTATCGTCCTCCGCACCGGATTCGCCACCTCCAAGGGCCAACTGGTGCGAAGCATCATGTACCCGAAAGCCCCGGACTTCGCCTTCACCAAAGATCTGTTTCTGTTCGTTGTCTTCCTCCTCGGCGTCGCCGTCCTCGGCATGATCTACACGATCATCATGATGGCTATGAGACATGAGAGCGTCAAACGCTGCATCATTCGCGCTCTGGACATCGTGACAATCGTCGTTCCTCCTGCGTTACCGGGTAATTTTTTAGGCAGTTTTTATACGCATTTTATACCGATGTCCTTGGAAATAGAATAATAGGAACGATTCATTTTAGCTGCAATGACCAACTGCTATGTCCGGTCGCAGAAAAACCTAAAAGAGAGCGAAATCTACTGTGTACAGCCCAGCAAGATTCCGATTTGCGGCGCAGTCAATGTGGTAAATAAGAAATTGGTTCTGGTGATCGGTACCCTTTTTATAGGCGTGCTTCGACAAAACCGGTACTCTGACAGAAGAGGGACTTGACTTCCTTTTGGTCCGGCCTGTCGACTACAAGCCGGTATAGCAAGAGCTTTTTGTCAAATAGCATATATAGGAAGCGGAGAAAGGTGAAGCAAACTTCTGCCCGGAAAACACAACCGTCAACGCGACCGACCTTCCGCTCAACGGTGAATTGGCCGCGGCCATCGCTACTTGCCACACATTGACCAGGTTTGAAAATCGAATGTATCGTAGAAAGCTGTTTAGGATTGAAGGCCAGCTTCTTGGCGATCCGATCGACCTTCTCCTATTCCAATCGACAAGCTGGGAATTTTACGAACCAACCTCCCCAATTCTATCCGAGTAAAATCCGCCTCAAATAAATTACCCGCTTTTTAGAAAGCACGTTGAGGAGGAAAATCTTTACGATGTCGTTCAGCCAAGTGTGATGAGGCCACCAACCGGTGCTACCGGAGATTTGGCCATCATCTCGCAGTTTCCGTTTTCGTATGTGGAAAGTTAAGGGTGCTTGAAACGTCTTTAGTTCGGAGCTTCAACGTCAATCTGTTCTTGTCCATTCACCCTGTTCGGAAAATGGTAAAAAGAAAGTGCTCTACGCGAAGGGATCCCCGGAAATGATCATGAGCCTGAGTAAACCTCATACGGTACCCGCAGACTATCTGAAGGTCGTCAATCAGTACTCACACGCCGGGTAGGTATTTGGAAAACTTCAGTAATGTGTCATCAGATATCGCTTAATCGCCGTGGCTCGGCGAGAAGTGAATGTTTCATTTGCGAAGGCAAATCGGCTAAAGCGCGAAGATGTCGAAAATAATTTGGAGTTACTTGGACTAGTGGTAATGGAGAATCGGGTCAAGGAGGTTACACCAAAAGTTATCCAGGAGTTGAACGAGTAAGCTATTTTCCAAAATCTTATCTCCGATCCAGTTCCAACATTCGAACCGTGATGGTTACGGGAGATAACGTTTTGACGGCGCTCAGTGTAGGCCGTGAATGCGGAATCATCCAACCAGATCGTCATGCCTACCTCCTTGAACATCATAATAAAGAAAACGATGAGAAAGGCAAAACAGTCCTCACCTACAAACATGTAAGTCGTTGGTAAAATTTGGATAGAATAGAATAATAGGCGAAAAACTACCGTGACCCGCTGGTAAGCCCCGTAGTATGTGGCGCGACCATTTTTCCAGTTTGGCCCATTAGCATGTATCGGTTGTCTTGTCGGTTCTTTGAAATAGAGTTTAAGTAATCAAAGATGCAAATTTGCGCGGCGTTGCCAATGAAAAAAGTTTGCCAATTTTTTCTTTTCTCTGGCTTCTTATTATTTGCGCTCGAGGGGTTTGCAAGGTGTGAATTAGCTGTCTTTTTTCACAAAAATTGTAATTGTAGGTGATTGCTTGTACTGATGAGGACTTGGCGGAACGGATTGTTGTTGGCGAAGGTGGATTGATGGAAATTATCCACAATGGCGGTCATCTCTCCATGACTGGTGTGTCAGGTCCCGAAGAAAATGAACGCATTTCATTACAGGCAGCACCTTTGCGGTACTCCAAAAAGAGCACGCGCAGTTGCTCCCGGAAGTGGCAAAGTGTTGCGATGTATTTGCTAGGATGGCTCCCGAACAGAAAGCAGCTCTGGTCACGGTATTCCAAGAGGCCGGGGCGAAGGTCTTATTTACGGGCGATGGAGCCAATGATTGTGCGGCGCTAAAGGTAACAGAACTCGATACCTGATGGCAAAAACCATTTAGGCGGCTCACTGCGGTATTTCTCTATCAGATGCCGAAGCGTCCATTGCAGCTCCGTTTACATCCAAGGTAAAAAAATAGCCTTTAGTGTGAAACGAGAATAGACGACCCTGGCTGGCTGTCCCACCCTTAAACGCTTATTTAAGGTGCCGGATATACGATGTGTAATCAAAGTAATCTGTGAAGGGCGTGCCTGTTTGGTCAGCTCTTTCTCAATGGTCAAGTTCATGGCTGGCTATTCATTGACGCAATTCCTGACCATCTTCATCTTGTACCACTACGGCACAAACCTCACTGATTTTATGGTAGGGATCAATTCGTGATGCAAAGTGCTTTTAGTTTCTATACATCGACTTTGTGCTGATCACAGGAAGCGCTTTCCTTTTTGGGAATGCTCCAGCAGCCGTACGACTACACCATCAACCACCGCCTACGCGGCTCTTGACTGCCGTTAACTGCATTGCCGTTATTGGACAATTGGGTATTATGGCGATGGGGCAGGTGCGACATTCGAGTACATCAAATATAAATGGTGATTTTGTAGCTACTCACCAACTTCCTCGTAATCGCCCAACCATGGTACATCCCTTACATTGTGCCAGGAGACGAGGCGGAGGATAGCAAGGCATCGATGGTGGTAAGCATATCCGCAAATTACCTCATCTCATTCGGGATCGTAATTATATTGTTACCAAAACCTTAATCATACACTTACCTAAATACATACTTGTAGGGTACAGCCGTCTTCCTCACCTCCATCATCCAATACAACGCCCTAGCTGTAAGCTATTCGGCCGGGGCACCTCACCGTCAACCCCTAATCCGGAACCCATGGCTCTGTGTGTGCCTTGTCGTCACATCTCTGGTAGGCAGATGCCCAGTAATCCCAAACATCACCAAATACAGATATCCTGCGGGTTAGCCTTTATCAACGACGATTGGCTGGTAAACCTGATGGAATTTATCCACATGCCCAGCATCGAATTCCGTATGCTGTGCATCATCATCGGATGCTGCTGTGGCGCCTTCTCACTCATCTTCCAGAAACTGATCATCGATAACTGGGAGAAGGCCACAATTGGAGATTCCGGGTAAGTAAAAAAAACCCTTTAGAATATTTGTCCAGTTTCCGATCACAATTGCGCTGGCCCTGGCTCCAACTAACCAGGTTTTTGGCGGGGTTGTGGGCTCGAAACCACGCGGCTACCGAACAGCTGCTCGTTCTGCAGTTGGTCGAGACTTCTTCTTTCGGGGCCGATGAAACATTGAGTGATCCACACACAGAAAGGTTTATAGAGCATCGTGTTGTGAAGCTGTTGTAGTTTTGGCGTGTCGTTCTGGCCCGTATTACACCGATCGAGAAAACATAGGGCATGGCCAAATTTCGTTACTTCCTCAACATAGCTTCGAGAAAAATTATCTCGAGGCTTATCGTTGGACCTAGAGATAGTTAACCTAGAGTCTTGTATCCCGTGGATTTCCAGGGCCTCTCTGTACCCTTTTTGCCCCTATTCCCATGCGGCGCAACGCGCACTCGATTCATGGTATCTTGCTCTCGCATTGCAAAGAAGGTTCCCAGGCGCGATTGACTGCGGCGGCGGACATACGGTAGCCGCAGAAAAACTGCCCTTGTGACCGATCTCTATAGTCTGGAGAGAGGTGCCATGGAACTAACAAGACCCAAATTTTTTGTTGTGGTAGAGTCCGTGATTTGGATGGAGTTTCAATAAGACATATATCGTAACATCACTCCTTTTAGAACCGCCGTCTCGACCCCTCGTGATGTTGAGACCGGAAAACGGTCCGTCGAATACAAATTTGTCTAGTGCCTTCACCTCTGCTCCGATAGCCTTGAAATCTTTTGAATATCAAACTCTTGTTACCGGTCTACATTCGCTTTTGAGAAACAAGGGGTGGGCAGTGAAAAATAATATTTTAAGGCATTTGTTACTAGCCGATGCTAAGCCAAAATCGTAAAAAAGTTAGTAAACAAATTCACGATTCTGCCACCCCTCCTTCCACTAACAGTCCTTCTGCTTCTTCTCGCTAAACTTCCTTCATAGTTCATTGTTTTCCAATTGCATCCATATCGATCACACAATTACTGTGCAACGGTTTCCCTATCCGCGACCCTCTCCCTTGATTTCGGGTGTCAATAGTGCCACCTCGTTGTTTCATTGCTCCGTGCCTTCTCATTCATCACCAGTTGAACACTCAACACTAAAACTTGCACTCAATCACCCTCGAATTACCGAAACGAATCTGTTAGAATACCCCTGTGAGCTTGTGATTCCTTGTTTATTGCATTGTTGCGTAGTTTATAATAAATTTTATCTTTTCTTTATCACATTGCCGCCGGAGATCAAAATTGCAATTCGGAATATTGTCGCGTTGGCTTAAAACTTGGATTGTACGCAGAAAGGCTGCCGTTGAGCATCCAATATCATGAGTTCGTCCAGGCCCAGGTAATGATTTTTTGTCAAATTTCGAACCTCGAATGCAATCTGAGTCCCAGTTTTTAAAAGTTGGGATCAAAACGTACATATTGGTACAATCCTCGCTGCAACACTTTCCCTTCTCGGAACCATCGTTTTGCTTCTTTATTCAAACCGGGAGCCTAAATCGAATATTCTTACGCTAGGAATTTTCCACCTCAAAAATCAGCATTTCATGGTGTTGATCGGCACGCTTGGCATAAACCCGAAACCTTGCGCTCTTGTCGACCTTGTGGTAGGCAAATACAAAATAGACGTCGCGTGGCAAATCAAACGCGGGGGTGACCAAACGGCCGAGGTGCTTTGGCCCCGCGAGGTAGGCAAATGAACCATCTAAATAAAAAAATGAAGTGAGATACTATCAACAACCTTTATTATATGGAAGCACAGTTGCATCTCCACGAATACCAGTTAATGGATTGCCGACGGGCTTTGAAGAAATGTTCCAGCCTGCTTCAGTTGTATATCTGAAACAGGGTGTATCTGAAAAGTGAGGAGATGAGAATTGGTAAAAAGGAGAAATTGGTAAGGACAAGAAACTCGTTCCTCCCCCAACGTCGCACTCCTCTGCGCGCCTGACACGGATAACACGTGGGAGCGATTCGGCACACTAATGATTACACTTAATCATCGACTGTGTCAATAAACAAAAATTGTAACGGCACGAACCGCAATTGCAAGATTTAATTCTATTTACTTACTTTATACAGTCTCCTCGGTCATATGAACAGCTGAGAACCGCACAAGCATCCGGCATTTGCGCAGCGCTACTCTCGCTTTCCTCGCCGCGCTGGCTGTGTGCCGAGAATAGCGGCGGTGGCCTTGGAATATCTGAAGTATTTGCCCAAGCTTCCGCATGTTATTGATGGCTTTACCTATCATATCCAAATCTTCGATATCATTTGCGTGCAGCCCTTCATTCGTGGGGCGTTCGTAAATATATCTGACTGGCACCTCCTCGTCGTTCGCTCGATTTGCATGTTTTTCGCCGCTCGTGAAATCCTTCGATTCCAACGTATAAGGCGCTTCCTCGCGAAATTGTGCGGCCTACAAGAATGTTTTTCGGCAAATATAAAATACTAATTCTTCCAGGGCTTCCGGATCGCGTTTCACTTTGTAAATTTTTAGTCGTTTTGAGAGTTCGTTGGAATAGTCTTTTTCGGCAATCTCTCGGAGCTGCTTCTTGTCAACCAGTGTTGGGTACCTAAAAAGTTAGAAGTTAGAAGAGATGGTACCTTTCAGCGTTAGCGACGTAGCTGGGAATCGGCGGTAGTGGCGGTGGTGTTTCTTCAGGGAATGATTCCTCCCCTATTTGTTCGTGCGAAAACTCCTGTGACTACAAACCTTTCCCTGTAAAAAAACCTTCGAGCTTACGTATTCTTCAGAACACATCTGGCCTCGGTACTCGATATTGTCAATAACTGCAAATCCCCCCTGCATACCAATAGCTTGCCAAACGAAGTTTTCCGCGATTATATAAATCTGAAAATTCCTAAACTTGATCAATTTTTGCTGTAAAACCTGGAACGAATCGCTTCCTTGATCTGGAATCGGAATTAGCGCGGGGCCTGGGTCGCCGGATTCTATAGCATCACTGCACTGCTCATAATCCGGCAATAACCGATTCGTCTTTTTTGTACAAACACGTAATTGTACTTTTGGAGAAGTCCAATAACTGGAAGATATTTCATGGATAGAACCTAAGCTTGGACCTACGAAAACTTTAGGTCAGCCATTCCTCGCTGGCACTGAATAACATCACTGACTAAAATGGCCTTTCCCGTTGGCCCATGAACTTTTTCTGTAGCTACAATGGCGTAATATCCCTCTAAAAACAGCATGTTTTCATAAAATGGATAGCTGGAACCTGGTACCACTTTTGTGCCAGTCGCGATTTCTAGCCGGTTGGCGTCTAGATAACCGATGCCTTGAAACCTAAGAAAAGCATGGATCGATGAGTGAAAGATCAAATTCACCAATCCAGTTCATCAACCAAAATCCCGTCAACGTTCTTCCAGCGACATCTTTCATCGAAATCAAAGCAGAACAGTTGGCTTGACGAGACAATTGTTCCGGAAGCGGCTGGGACTTGTGTTGGTTATAACAAAAGAGCAAACCCAAGTTTATCGGTTGCGCCGGATGTGTATTTTCACCAAGGGCTCGATTTTCAAGACTAGAGATCCCGGGTAGTCCGGGCATGCTCGTCATTCCGGGTTTTGACATCATATCCGGAATCCCAGACATTTCCGCGGTACCCGAATTAAACGGGGTACAGGCATCTGTAAGAGAGGTACAGTGGTGATGTCTACTTAACAACGAGATCGCACCTGTTCTGTGAAAAAATAGTGATAAACATATCCACAGCATTGGCTCCAGAATATTTCGTAGTCGAGCGATGACACAACCGAACCACAGTTGTATTCCACTTTTTGATGGGCGTCCCTCCACTCGAATTGTGACTGACCCTTCCTGAATTGTCCATGCTTAGCAAACATATGGCCCAAGGGGGAGCCGCGGAGTCCCAGCCCCCTCCAGAATAGTCATTCAGTACAAAAGGGACCACGACGGGTGGTTCCGGCAACAAAAAACAAGGATGAGTGATCTGCCAAATTATGCGGCTGGTCTTGGCCGATGGCTGGGAGGAAAGTGACCGTCCGGTTGGCTGTGTTTGGCCAGCCTTTCTTTTAGACTCACCAATGTAGGGCGTACATGAAAGTGTTTGCTGCCGGATGGGAGGTGGAGGTGGAGCCGGACTAGCTGTTTCCCGTTAGCCCGCGCTTTCCATTATTCGTTTTTTTCGGGCAAAAAAGTCTGAGGGTGAATTGGCAATTCAAGCAAGCGTCGTCACTTTCATGTAAACCTTTGAGAACGTCAAATGAAGCCAAAGTCTCAGCTCCGACTGGCAGGGTCCTGAACCGAACCCGCATTAATAGCTGTTGTTCCCCTAGTTTTCTTGTAAAACTATGGACGGACGCCGATAATATTCACACAATTCTTTATAACAACTTGTACTTTATTTACACCGGTCCTTAGCTAAAACACGAGGCATGCGTAAACCCGATACAAACCGGAAGAGGCATAACAGGAAATCGCGAGTAACGAGTAACAATCTATGTACATCAGATGCCAATAAAGAAATGGAAAAGATCAGGGTACGGTACATGAGAAAATGGGGGTTGGGAAAAGTCCTGCTAGTCTAATAAAGAGGGAGGGGTAAGAAGTAACAATTAATCAACAAGCACACATTTCGGCGTATTCGTAGTACTTGTTGGCCAGTTTTCCTTTCATGTTTTCCATCGCGGCTTCAGCAGCTTCGTTGTAGAGCTCGTAAGCCCGAGTCATGTCTTGCTCAAGGCCATGGCCACCCTATAAGATTTGATTTCACAAATATATGCGCATTTTTCACCTCCTGATACATGCGTGCCATATTTGCAAGCAATTCATGTCTGGGTCTATGTTGTTCGGTGCCCTCCTCGTCATCGGCAAAACCCATGCTTTTTTCGAACCAGAAAATAGCCGATGGGTAATGAATCTGCAAACATTTTTCTTATAATTAGCTTTATAACTACCGCTCCATCTTTTCCCATATTCTTCCCGGTCTCGTAGGCCTCAGCAACGAAGAGAATCGCTCCACGGTCACCCATTTCGGCTGCGGTTAGCATCAGATCAAACGCAAATTGGTGGACATCTCGATCAAAGTCTTCTTCCTGAAATTATACATACACAGTAAGTAACTGTAATTTACCGAGTCAGCGAACCATGATACGTCGTTGCCGATCTCCTTCAATAACTCATGGTGAAGATGATAGCACATTTTTGCCACAGTAAGAATAGCCTGGTGGGAATATATTTTGTGATCTGGATCACATACCTCCAGGTTGCCACAACGGCGTGCAATATCCAGATGGTACAATGCCGCTTCTTGATCGTATTTCACATCCCCACTCGTCGTGCTTGAGTTGGAAGATATGGAACCGCCAGTCGAGGTCAGCTCATGTAATACCTAAAACTTATTATGGTATTTTTTGCGTATTTCTTACCCGGCACTTCTCCTCATTAGCGTCTTCCTCACGCAGAAATCGCCCAGCTTCATGGTAGCGAGCCAAGTCCAAATGGACTTGCCCGAGGATTGAGATATGACGAAGCTGTGTGGCTGCATCCTGAAAAAGCACATTAAACTACTTGATCTTCGCCTCTTCACCTGATGGGTCTGCCCTTGAAGTGCTGTAATCACTCCAGCCGGGACCGACTTCTTGCGTTGTACAGCCCAATACTCATCACGCTCGGTAAGACCAGTGATGCGCGAACTGTCTCCTGCACTGGAGCACATACTGTCTGTCGTGCGGCGACGCTGAGGACGATCCGCAGATTCGACTGACAGTGTAGCTCTGCCAACCTAACGGAAAAAAGAAGGTGATGTAAATATAGAGTCACATACCTTTCTGGTGATAGATCCTCCCAAAGAGCCACGTCGGCTCTGTGTATCGCTCACGCTTTCCTCGTCGTCAAAGGTGACGCCTTCACAGATTTCGTTGACGCAAATTTCACACATGCAGTCATCGTCGTGGTCCTAAAATAAAAATGTTTAGCAGAGATAGGTTATGAGTTCGCTGGTATCGATATTCAACCTACCACCGATTTGTTGTCACCGCTTGGGGTTGAGGCGCTTGAGGTAATAGAGCGGGAACGTTGGCGTAGAGTGTCTGTTCGCTGTCTCAGGCATTCCATCGCGTCATCGGGTGCCAATTCATCCAGCTAAATAATTTTAATGTGTTCTTAATTTTTCTGTGCTTACCAATGGATTGCAAGAACTTTCCAGCCTCGTGCGTCGTTTGACAAACTGCGTAGGCTCCTGGAATCGGGATATATCGACTTTTTCCTTGCTTTGCTTACCAGTGCCGGCTTGAGTTTGGCCACATCTATCTTCAACTGCTCCCTCTCGCTGACCGACAGATCGAATTCGGTTAGACAAAGCATGTGGCAGATTTCATTGCACTGATGTGAGTGGAAGAACAGGGCCATTCCTCTGGTTCCCAGATTTCCATCTCCATAATCTGTACCGACGACTGTATGGATTTGTGGATCTGTGTAGAGATCACCAACACCCTAAAATGTTTGATTATTCCCAAGATTGGTGGTCGAACCTGGATGTCCACGACAATCAGCTGGTGACCGGATCGTTCGAAAGTGAAATGTGAAAAGGAATGTGGAGTCTGGCGTTGCATTTCCGAAACGAAGCCGGAGTTCGAGTTGTACTTGACGTATTCCCCTTCGATGAAATGTTCCAGGTGATAGTAGGGTTCGCCGGGTAGGTCGAGGATCTATAAATTTTCCCGGTTAAATCCAAGAAAATCACGCTACCTGAATGACATTGATCTGCACAATGTCGATCTTCTTGGGTGGGTTATTCCGGTTGAACTCTTCAGCCCAGAGCTTGCAGTCGAGTTGCAGCTTCACGTCATCGAAGATTACCTAACTGGATATAAAGTTTTTGAGTTGATATTACCTGCTTGTCCACCTCCTGTATGTATCGTTTGGCCACGTAGTTATGGGCATTTTCCCATCCTTGATTATAGCCCATGCTGGACAGCTTTTTCACACGAAAGCATTCTCTCATTGCTCCTCTTGCAAAAGAATCCATGCACATTTTGATCTGAAAAATACCGAGATTAAAAAAGATCTTTTGGATTCAAAACGAAATTTCCAACGTCAGGTTGGGATCGGATAATTAAACAAGGCGAAGCAAATAAATTTTACCAACCAACCTCAACAAAATCTTCCGTCCACGTCTTGCGAGTCGCAGAATAGCGGAACCTCCTTGCGCGTAATACCGGCATCTCATGAATATTAAACTTTTTCCACGGGTCTACGGCACGCCTCACGGCACGCCATGCGGCATTTCGCCATCTTTCCAGCACCTATTTTAATTACTACTTCCAAACGAAAACACCTACAAGTTTCCGACGAGCACTCTCCACGAACGAGACGCTGATTGCCACTTCGTGAATCGGAGCGAGTTCTTGCCATTCTTCACTGGTTGCTTTGCGGTTGGCACCGCCCAGCAAAGTTTCTTCCTGAAAATCTTAAGTTTTTATTTTTCAAAATTTGCATACAGTCTCCTCGTCCTCATCCTCGGCGCCTTGAAAAGAGGCAGCTGCTGGGGGCATTTTGGCGAGCCGTTGTTACCTGGTGAGGTGAGCCGTAAATAGCATTTTTTTTTCTAGACACAAGCAAAAGTGGAGGGTGCGATTGGAGTGGTAAGTAGACGACGGGATATTTTAGAATTTTTGTTGGTAGTTATTAGGTTGGTCCGGAAAGTTCTTTCGCTTTTTTGTTTCGGGAGGTTTTTCGAGCGAGGCTTCGATGCCAGAACTTGTCCGCGTATATCATTTTGAAGGGTTTCGGATGCTCTATCTGCCACCTAGACTAATCTTTTGTAGAAACAATTTGTTAATTTTTTGCAAGTGCCCGAAGATAGGGTCAAAATCGGCCGATTTTCTTGTTTTGCCTGAAGCTCAATCTTTGGAGTCTTTGGAGGGAGCCATGCAAATTGCTATTTGGTAACACAAAAGCAATAGGAAGTGTCTAGAAGAGTGTAACGGCCAAAAATCATTCCAACTGTGAGTGGAGATGCTAAAAAACAGGCATAGATATTTGAAAATTTGATGGTTAGCTATGCAACTATTTATCTCAAATCATAAAAAATACCAAGTAAGGCCTAAAATTCGACCAGCAGTCGGTGAGCCTTCCTGCAAAATAAGTATTTAGAACCATTAAAGTAACTATGTTGTTTGGAATCACAAAATGGTTGCATTTAGAAAATAGGCTAAAACCTGCTGATAAAGTGAGGGACTAGCGTCAGGTATAGGAAAGTCGAGCGGATGGGCTGCATTAGTGTGCGAAGTCCACAACGTTTAGTATGGATTTTCCACAAATTAGGCCATGAATGCTAAAAAAGTGGATCGTTTTCAAAAATAGCACGTCCAGGCGCCGGATGCAGCGGCTTTTAGGCCAGACGAGAGGGGCTAGTACTTGGGTGGGGGAAGAGGCGGGGGGGGGGTGAATGTTCCGGGTGGCGGGGGAGAATCCAGGGTGCGCGATAGAACGACCCTATTGAGAGTGGCCAGACGGCAGAGATAAAGGGGGGACATGGCCCACGAGACCTCGATCTGGCAGATTGATGCCTCCAAGGCTGTGAAAGGATCGATAACTGAAATGTCTGGGCCGGAGTTTCGGGTCTGCATTGGGTTTTTGGATCATTTCACAACTGGGGGTGAGGAAGGCAACGATAGAGCCGATGGATTCATTCCCAAGGTGGACATCTGCATCAGGTTGGGGGGGGGGGGGCCCTCCCCCCGGGTGCGGGGGGGGGGCGGTGGCGGGGGCGGGAGCTCCCGTCCCGTTTGGGGTCCTTCATCGCTCGGCGGTTTGTTGGCAGAGCTGGTGTGTGCTTTCCTGTTTCTTTCTTCTCGCTTGTTCTCCCCGCCTTTCTGTATGTCTCTTTTGGGGCTTTTCTGGGGGGGGCGCTCCCCCTGTCCCCCTCCTCCTCCCTTTTGGCGCGTCCTCCTCCTTTTTTGGGGTCCCCGGGGGGGGGGGGGGGATGCCGAATAACTTGTGACCTGGGCGTGCCTTGCGAAACATCTGCCCCCCAAAACAGGGTGAAAAGTTTTGTAGCGTCTGGTCGGAAAGAAATGGGGAAGCTGGTTGTTCGTCTGTGGGAATGGCTGGCATTCGAAACATCCGAATTGGGAAAACGCCTGAAAAAAAAACAGGCAGGAGCACTAATCGAGAGGGAGGGCCTTGCTCCTTTAAAAAGAAAATCTATCAAATACTATGCAGGCAAGCAAGAAATTCCTTAAAAGCTAGAATGATCTAGCAGCTGTAGTGAGTACGCCTGCACAGAGAACGAACAAAGAGCGCTCACACTCCATGTTTATCACCCGCGGCCATCCTTCGGAACCCAACATCGGGCCAACCATATGCTTCGTTCTAATTTCGTGACTTTCCCTAGCAACTAATCACTAGGTTCCCTGACATATGGAAATATATTTATTAATAGATCTCAAAGTCCATTCATAATACTCCGCAATGTAGAAAAGTTGAGAGAAGCGCATGTCCCGCCTGCCCGAACGTGAAATAGGCCATCTTCTTTCTAATTCATACTTTCCTCCCGAATTCGATCCTTAAACTAACCCTCTCTGAGCGCTTCCTTCTAACTGTAGATTTATCAACAGAATCGTAAACGCAAATCCGGCGTAATACTAAAAACATCACGTCTACTCTAAAAATACCCGTCTGCTCACCTGGGCCTTTGTAAAAACGTTCGAGCACTCGAGATTCAGTGCCAACAACGGGGCAGCTGTCAAATTTACGAGCCCGCCGATAAAGAGGAAGGCTGATGGCAGCAGACGAGCTGTTCTGAAAAGAACGAAACATATTAAAAGCTTTTTGAGATTACATTGGGGTTTGTCTAGGCGCCGCTTCAGTGGCTTCCGGGACGACGAATAATTGTTGTAAAAAGAATAGCGTCGGGAGTATTAAATAAGGGATGTTGAGGGAAATTCCTGCTTTGATCTTATTAACATATTCATTATTTGTTTGGTTGTTACCTCGTGGGTTCCATCAGCATGTCCAAGGTAAGCCGAACCCAAGAGTACGGACATACTATTCAAAATACTACCTGCCCAAAATAGCCCTAAATTTTTATATATAAAAAATAATTGCAATTTCTACCCAATTTGTCATAGCTTTTTCCTTCCAATTGTCTTTTGATCATAACCATATAAAGCACATAGTGCACCGTGGCATCGATCAAATTAACCGACGCACCCCAGGTCGTATCCAAATATGGCTCAGCTATTTTTAGCCATAACTCGAATCGGTCTAACAAACAAAATTAAATAAAAAGCTATTTGAGCCTTACCATCAGCTAGTCCAATAGTTTCCAGTAATAATGCCAAATCCACCATGCAAGTCCATGAGCATAGAATGAAAAAGTAATACCAAGGATCGTGACGTTTGGGCAAGATTTGAGAAGCAGCCCAGACGACTAGAGAAGCTTTACTTTCTTAATTAGCAATTAACATACCCCCGATTAAAACCGCACTTCCCAGCATCGGAAGGGTATATACATTTAAATAGTCTGCAAGGCTTCCAACCACTAAACACACTCAGATCATTTTTTGATCCCTTAGAACCTGCGAGTATTGGAATGGCAGTCATATCCAATAAAAATATTTTGATCAACGTGGCTGAGACATTAATCCGCTCTGACTCAATGTCTACATCAACTTTGTCTTTCGTCTCCTCCTTTCTTTCTTCTTTGCTGACTCTCTTTGAAGCCCTACTGCTCATTTCTATAATCAAAACGATTCTAAATATACATTCATTTTTATTACATCAGAACACGAGATCAATGGCTTCATAACAGTGTGGAGAAAATAGCTTTTTCAAGGCGTGGAGCAAGAGGGTACGGGTGACCAGAGATATTTAGGTTGAAAAGATATTGGGCGGAATATATGATATATATTAAAATACACGTATTGGTGACAAGTGATTTGGAGCGTGAATTGGTCAACGGGTTTAATCAATATATCGGGTGTGCGGGTGCCGACTAACTAGACATGATAAACGGCTAAAACAGAGACCCATAGTGTTGGGGACCGATAAGGAGTGTAGGTAGGGAATAAAGCGCTTCTATTGCTCCTTGAATTCCCTTAATCGGACTGATCCGCGGCGGACGACGTCTTCGACCTCGTGGTCTTCTTTCTAAGATTTAAAGTGAGCATGAGCAATTTGCTATACCTTTTCTTCTTCATCCATAATTTTTAGTCCAGTAGCATTGACGTAGACGTATAAATCAGTAAACAACGAAACGATGCGGATAGCAGTATAAGTGAAATGCATTCTAAAAAAAGTTTTGACAAATTTCAATTTTAGATACCTCGTCCTCATTTCCGTAGAGTCGTACAGAGAACAAGCTCCACGTCCACCACTGCATGTATATTCCCAAACCAAACAGGTTGAATCGATGATTATTCCCCATATAAATGGTGACGGAAGCGTACCTCAAATATGGGTGTTTTTATTTTACGAAAACTTCATACCGAATAAGCTGACCATAAAGCCTTGCAATCCAAGCGAAACTGAACGCGTGGCCGGAGGGACGGATCTAAAAACGTGCTGACAGCTGAAGCTTTTGTAATACCGTAGGAGAATCAGCAGGCCAGGGACAACTCCAGTTCCGGCAATGAAAGCTCCGAGTAAAACAGTCCCGAAAAAAACTACAGTCGCAAATTTGCAATCGTCTTGGCACCAGCTTTTCTTGACGATCCCGGTGCTGGCGCAATCGCAAGAGAGGAATTCCTAAATGGTGAAAATGGTGAAAATTGGTTGAATATTGACTCACCGCATCATATGAATTGTGCTTGTTCACTTTAGCTTCACGACAGCCGGCATGACAGGGAGAGAAGAAAGCTTGACCATCTTCATCACAAACAGGATAGAGCTTTGCTCCATCACAACCACAGTCCATGTTGCAGGTGTCGGTAAAGTTGTAGCTTTCAGCCCTAAAAGGAAAATTTGATTCTATTACAGTAATGGCATCCTACTATCTTCAGCACTATTTTTATAAAAACTTACTTCTTAGTTGATCCAACCCTTGAAACCACCGATTCACACGCAATAAATGACTTTGAGAAAAAGATTCCAGTGTTCAGGGTCGACATGATAAGCACCTAAATTTTGCATATACAGAAATTTAGTCACTTTTACCATTAATGCGGCTTGCTTTCCGGTCAAACGGAATTTCCTAACAAACAGCCCTCCGGCCATCGTTCCCAACGCAAATCCAAAGACTCCGAACATCGCTAGAAGTCAATAATAATTTTGTGAGGGATGTATAATTACAAACCCATATAACGATGGACCATATATTGAGGGATTCCAAAATGATTCTCCAGATATTTCGGCAGAAATGTCATGTATCCCTAAACAGCATGAAGTACGTCATCAGAAACCTGGTACCTTGAAAGCCAGAATATCGCAAATACGTCCAACAACCGATCCTCGATAAATCTTTGTCTTCAGTACTTCACGATACTGCTTGATAAACCCTGAAATTAGAATTTTCAAGTGATCAATCCAGTTTTTCAACCAAAGATTGCAACATAAATTGTAGCATGCATCGAATGATTGCTGTTAGCGACCCAGCCAGCCGTATTCACTTTTTCCTTTTTCAGGTTAGTCCCCCATAAGCGTAAAGTTTTAATTCTACCTTTAAAAGAGCCGAATGGCGAGCCTATGAAACTATGTTATATATACTACTTTCCTTCAAAAATTACCTTTGAATTTTTCCATCGAGCTTTGGTCCTCATCTTCGGCCTTATGCTTATCGATGAAGTTAAGCTCGGTTTTGCCGTTATCTTTTTCTTCTTGGGTAAGTCTAAAAACAATTAGTTGTTTTTAACGATTTCAAGGATTTGGTTGTCTCTTTGGTTTCTTTACGTACTTTGGGTTCGGGAAAAACAAGATGAATGTGGATGGAAGCAGCGTGACACATCCAATGACCGCAAATCCGATCCACCAAGCTCCAATCCATGTTGGGTCAGCCGGGGATAAACCGGGCGGGGCTAAAAAATGATACAGTTTTTTTCAGCTTAACTTGACTTACGGTGAAGCGTGTAGTAGAACTTGTTGCAAACCGAGCCGATCAAGAAGCCACAAATCGGGCCGAGGATTCGGATGAAGGAGATCATTGCTAAAGAGGATTTGAGGTGATTAGAGTAGAGTTACCAAAATATGCCGGGGAATTCTTTGATTTGATGTTGTCATCGAGGAGCGGGACTCCGAGTGACCATGGCATCGTTCTTCCAATGCCCAATACAAATAGGGAGCCGAAGAGTACGATGAACGGGCCGAGGTTTGATGGACTTTCCAAGCATCGCACTTCCTGAAGATATAAATAATTTTAATCTTCCGATTTCTATGAAAACCAGCGTCTTTGTGTGTACATTTTTATGTACTTTTCCGCAAGTGTGTTTAACACAACGCCTCATGTGAGCCTTTTTCGACGGAGAAAGATGTCATTAAGTGTCAAATGGACTAGAAAAGGCCGCCCGGTTTCGGATTTTTTAAAACACAACGTTTTTTTTATTAAAACGCATGTTTTGTGGAAAATTCCGGCTAGCGTATTTGCTTAGAAAAATTTGCATACATCAGATACACGTTTCCTATAAAACGGCTTGATTTTTCCATGTTCAATAGGAAGATTCAAAACAAGTTCGTTGTCCTCAGGGGACTCAAAAAGTGAGCAGTAGCGAAGGGTTTTACAGAACAGTTTCATCAGAATTTAAAACCTTTTTAAAACAATCCCGATTTAGTTCATTGATTTTTCTAATTTTTCTCTTCCACCCAAGCCCTTTTCCCGGGACTGATGTGATTTTCGAACGTACAACCAATCGGTCATCCGCTCCACACCCCAAATTTATCTTGACGATCATCCCCCACCCAGTTGAAGGACATACAAATGACGCACAACATTTGGCGAAGCCGCTTTTTCCCCCCACCGATCGACAGATCTTTAGTGACACTCCCCATCCCTCGCCCTCCTGTACCCGTCAAAATCGTACTTGCAATTTTTGGCGCAGATTATTGACGAGCTGCCCGCAAATCGCAAACGGCGCGATAGCTGCGCGTCGAACCTGAAACACGGGGCGTGTTTTGTGGGGGGATACGAGAAGTACAATACTTGCTGGAGATCTTGGGCGGCATTCGTTCGGCGATGACTGATGAATGTGTTGAGCAGCTCGCGGAACGTATCGAGTGACTCGGTGCCATCCACGACTGACTGGCCAGTTTCGACAATCTTGAAAGTAGGCGATGGATATCTCCGTGCGAAAATGTATGTACCTTTGCCATCACAGTTGGATCGATCGAATAAGTAAAATAAGCGTTGTCCCTCGTGAAGATGGGCGCCTGAAAGAAAAACATAGGAGTATATTTAAAGGTATTTAAGGGCCTACCGTAGTGGTCATCATAGTTGTCATTTGCGCAGGTGTCATAGTCTTATTTTCCATACGCAATAGCGTATCGATAAGTTGCTTTGGGAGACGATCTTGGAACAAACGATAGGATAGCAAAGCGGCCAGGCTTGCATTTCCGGTTAATAATTCACTGGCTGGTTGGATATCGTGCTAAAATATGATAGTAACAGTGTTCGCAAAATCACCAACCTGGATTTCAGTCAAATTCGCCTGAGGAGCAACGACTGGGAATAGGAAATTCGGAGAAGCAATCCCAAAATAGGTAATCGCAATCAGAACCGTTCCACAACCGATCCATCGCGCCCGGTTACCCCTCGATCCAAAATACGAGACAAAAATCACCGCCGGGATATATCCAAAATCATCTAAATACCTAGATTAAATTTCGAAAACGCTCATTACTTGCAGAGACCATAATCCCAGACATTTTTGACGTAATTTGGAACTGCTTTTCGATGTTCGTGATCGCGGACACAATATACATGCCGCCGATCGCCTCGAAGAAATAGACAAGCGAGAAAAGCCCCAGGAAATAATGGATGCGCTCCATTTTGAAGCCGAACAGCTCCATCCTGAAAATATGAACCGTCGGTGCGGATTTTGAGGGTTGGTAGGGCTTCGTTGGCAAAACTTGCCGGGTAATCACCGGGGGCCAGACAACAATCGTATGCTCACCTTTTTTCGGGGGGAATCCGCGCAGGAGTGGCCCGTTGGAATTGGTTAGTTGTCCACTGGAATGTGCATTTTTTTGTTTTGGATAGCATGAACTGGACATATGGCGGAAATGTATGGAAGGAACGGTTAATTGAGACCGTACATACAGTAGGTGGGGATGTTTGGTGTGCATTTACAGGGAAGATATGGAAAATAAGGCGGCAGAAAAGAAATAAATTGACTGGGAAGAAAATGCAATCAAGGTATTTCCGAAGCTATTAAAACGATAAGGAAGTTCAAGAAATCACGGGAGAAAAAGCGCATGTTTTGAGTATTACACCGTGCTGAATGGTGAAGGAGAGAGCTACACCATAGTGATGAATTAGCAGACACTTGAGTTCAAGCTTGTCATTGTTTTGAAATAAAATAGCTTGTCATTTCTAAAATAAAAATTTACTGATAGCATGCAAAAAAGGTAGAGTTGAGCTTCACTCAGTGTTCCTGTCGAGAAGTGAACGTTTTCTGGCAAAATGTTTAGATTAAACTCCCATTAGCAAAATTCCATTCACACCCATCGCTCCAGACACAATGTCGCTGCCTTTTAGTCTGTTTTCTTTTTCAATAAAAACGAAAAGGTAGTTCCGCGCCACTGCAGCGACCACAAAAATTTCTGGTTGGCACGAAACCACATGCTTACAAGGGAAGTGCACGACCGGCCTACGAGAAATCGACACGAGACATAGTGGATCTGATAGAATCGGACACGGGGAATCCGAATCTGTAATCAGAATTTGCTAAATACAACGGAGAAAAAAAAGTTATGAAGCATCAAAGTTGGCCAAATCGCCAAAAACGGTACCTTTAAGGGCCCGTAAAAACCGGGGGAACGGAATTGAGGAGAAAAAAATTAGTGCATCTTGTTCAGCAGAAAAAGCGCTTTCGAATGAGCTGTAATACGTAGCATTTGCAAACAATTCACTGAAAAAAGTTTTTTTGGATTCACGGGCAAGGGTATGGCCTGTCAAGTTCGTAGAAGAGATTTTCGCGAAATCATCGTAAACTTGAAGTAAGATAGCTCATTCGAAAGCGCTTTTTCTGCTGAACAAGATGCACTAATGGGTTGTGGCAAATTTCCATTCCCTGGGCCTTTACAGACCCATAAAAGTCCGATTTTGGGCGATTTTACCAACTTTGAAGCTTCATAACTTTTTCTCCGTTTTATTTAGCAAATTCTGATTACAGATTCGGAATCCCCGTTTCCGATTCTATCAGATCCACTATGTCTCGTGTCGATTTCTCGTGGGCCGGTCGTGCACTTCCCTTGTTAGCTGCAAAAAGCTATCTATGGTATTTCTAAAAATCATAGCCGTCGGGGTGCAACAAGCTCTGCCGGCCGACCGAGGCAGCTTTCACTTCCGCCGGCTTTTGACCACAAATAGCCCCTCCATGAGCGCGCGAATCGTCAATCCAGGCAAGCCATCACGCCCTTACGCCCCTATCCGCCTAGCCGAATATCAGAAAAGGCGCCGTGGGGATGGATTGGTATGGGTTGATGTCCGGCCAGCCATCCTCCCCTCCACATATCCCATCATGACAGAAACTCGTTCCAAATCCATGTGTGCCATACGGAATTTGTCTCTCTCTATCTCTCTCTATCTCTCTCACTCGCTCTCTCTCTCTCTCTCACCTATATGGTGGCGTTGGGGTGCCCTTGCTGTAATTGACCATGATCGGGTGCAAAATAACCGTATGCGGTGAGGGCATCATGTGGGTGGAGGAGAACCGGATATGTGCATCTACTACATGGCACTCTGAGGGATAACTGCGGACCAAGGCCGCATTTGGCCTTGCTTTTCCCTCTTCAAATTCACACACTAGCCCCCTCCACCATCACCTCTTTCAGTCATGTCCATTTTTGTGGTCAAGTGTGCGGAAAAATTCGGGCGGTGAGTTGAGAGATCCGTTGAGGGAAGGGAGGGGAGACAGGACGGATCGAACCGTAATCCATCAATTGAGCAATCAGTAACGTCTGTCTATGAAATTTTGGGGGAAAACAAACGGGGGCAAAAATAGAACATAAAAAGAAGCAATCAATAGTGCTACAGATTAACATTTAGGTGAAAAGGGAGAAGAACTCTATTGCGTGCCCAAAAAGGGCCTCCTCCAGCGGTGGAAAAGTAGATGTGGATGATTTTTATAGTCAGAATAATCACGCGAAAGCGAGGAAGCAAGAGGGTTTTGGTTGTTTTCCAATATAATTAAGATTTTAGCGTGAAACCCTTGTTTAAAATAAATGTTCTAGAAAAAAAATGTTTGTTTTATCGCCGCTTCAAGAGGATTCAATAGATACCGAAATCGTAAGAATCGGACACGCACCACTACTATAGGGTTACTTTTTTGGAACACTTGAAGAGGACTCTATTATGCGTTCACGATCGTTATTACAAAAATAAGAAGCATCCCGGGGCCCACAAAGGTATAAAATTCCCGTTTTTCAGCCATTTTTTCAAGTGTCAAAAAACAAAACAATTAAAGCAGTAGATAGGGCTCGGCTTTCAGCCAGGAAAGACGCTTCCTTAGAAGTGTTTGTATGGGAAAATGATTGTGTGTGTGTGGGGTGGTGGGAGAAAGGGAGAAGTCCTTCCCCAGCACCCCGTCCGGGTGTACGCCCCAGGGTCGTCGAGCTTGTGTTTGGTCACGGCGGTATACGCGCCTTTTTCTGGGAGCCTCAACAGGGTCCGGCTGGGTGACACCACCAACGACAATACCACTCTTTGGGGGATTTTCGGGGTGCGGACAAGCGAAAGGAATTTAAAAAACGAGACGTACCCAAAAATAAAGCAGATCGTTATCAAGTTTACGCGAAAAGGGACCGAGTAGGGCGCGACACCGCGTGGAAATATCGGTGGTAAGTAAATAAATAGTATTACGGGGAGAAATTGACGGAAATGGAATTGGGGATGCTTAGCGTGGGAATTGGTGTGATAGGATCAGGAAGCCCTGGACCGGAGTTGGGCAAGGGCGCACTTAAATGGTTCTTTAAACAATACAGTTTAGGCTTGATGGTAAAACTATAAAATTTGTCTGAATATATTTAATTGCCAGAAATTATCGCGAAAATTGGTGGTATGGGATCAAAACATGACCGGAAGTTGTGTTAGGCTAAACCAAAGAGCTCCTTAAAAATACATCTGGGGCACTTTGGTAAGACTATAAAACTTGCATAAAAATATTTAATTCAGTACACTAAATATTGCAAATTACACAGAGACACGCAAAAGTAGGGCATCAGAGAAAAGATGAATAAATGCGGTAGTAGCACCGGGAAAATCGCGCTTAAGCCGGAAATGATACCCCTAACCCGCGCCGGAAAATCAGACCAAAACACCAAAGCTTACTAGAATATTGCCAAATACACCCCATACTCCATATCAAACTTTCCCAACAAGCAAAACGCGACCACCCCAGGCCTAGGCCTGATGTTTTCCACGTTTCCGCACCTAATTGTCTGGGGCTGGTGTACAATTGAGGAGGGTTGTTTTGGAGGTAGTAAGGGCTGGCCCGATTCGGCACCACAGATCGCGCTCTTCGCGCAAGAGCGCTTCACGCTCTCTACGCGCGCTGGAGAGGATGAGGAGAATGAGAATGAGAAGGAGGAGGAGGACGGGATGGCAGGGCAAAAGACAGATAGATGGATAGTGGGGGGTGCAGGATGTACCCCCGGTTTCATCGATAGACAACTACCCATCCGGTCTCGGGGTGGCTAATAAGGGAGGTGGTCTAGTGATTAGCACCCGAAATTTGCACCTGTCGTCCGTTCAAAATTGGCATCTCCACCGGGGAGGGTGTTTTTTGCGTCTTTTCCCCCCTACATGCGGAAGCTCGAGGAAGTGATGCGATAAAAATTTCGTGGTCTCTAGGGTGGGATATAGAGTCTTTTTCAGAACGTCCGATTCAACGCTTGCAGCTATGCAATGAGCCTTTCCTCTTTTTATGCAATCGGTTTTTACCACCGTCTCAATGCCAAAATTGTGCGGCGAGGAACCAGTTCTACCCCGATGTTTTCAATAGCAATGCGCGGGGGAAAGAGCAACTTTCTATGAGCACCATTACCTGCGCGTTCTCGCAAAAAGTCTCAATGAAATTAAATAAATATAGAAGTTTTCAAAGCTCTAGAAAGCATCAACTTCGCAAGTTAAGGATAATTGATAAGTTGAGACTAAATCTTTCTTAGGTTCAGCTGTACCCAATGTCCCAATTTTCCCAAAATAATATAGGGTTTCCGGCATACTGTAGTCGAGTGCAAATTTTTTCGAAGCCTTAAAAAGGAGAAAAAGTCGGAGAACGAATCAAGAAGCCCTTCCCAGACAAGAAATTCCGTTTATATCCATCATGCAAAAATAGGGGGATTTCGGCGATCTCGGGAAAAGTATCGGCTGGATGAAATGCGTCAGATGGTCTTGGAGGAAAAGGGGGAAAGATTGAGAGAAAATGAAAAACTTTTAGGGGTCAGGAAGAGAGCGCGATGAGGGTTCGCCGAACACGCCGCGCCCGGCATAAGATCGGCACCAATTTTTGATAATAATAATCGCGGCAATGGAAACTATCCTTCAAAAGTCTGGTGAGTCCATGATGGGCGCAATTAGAGAGCTAGGGGAATCCCCGGAGATTCCGTTTTTGGTCGCGGCTCGGAAGAAAAGGTGTTTTTTATTCAGAAAATCCAGGAAACCAAGGAAACAGGTGGCGAGAGAGCCAGGTTACAAATCAAAAACTATTTCTGAGCCAATCTCATTTGTGCACTTGTAAATGCATTTTAAGTTGGGATACATTTCTTCTTTTTACTTTTTCTAATTTTGGATTTTTTTGATAGTGGATTTAAGTTGCGACAGTTATAAAAAATGTGATTATTCTTCATTTTATAAACTTTTACATCACAAACACAACGCAAAACAATTGAGAAATGAAATCACAGAAATAAATAGAGCACAGTGGCGGATACCCGTTTTTGGATAAGCATAAGGGCGAGCTAGCCCCCCGTTTGAGAAACAGAATTTGCCGAACAGCCAATTCTCATGAATCAGTTGTTTGGGCACAAATTACAGAGCACAAATGGCGTATGGAAGGGTTTGTTGATTAAGCGAATTGCTGCTGGACTCGATGGTAGGCTCGGCTATCCAAATATTCCCTTCTCTTCAAGGCCACAAAAAATGAAAGTAATGTGAGGATGCCGTTGAAGGTGACAAACTTGTAGAAGAATGGTGTTGTATTAACCTAATAATTTTTAATTATTGGATTCCAATAAATTTCTCACTTTTAAGCATGGCTTCAAGGCGACATGGTTGGATTTGGTACAATTAATTCGATCGTAGAAACCGGTTCGAATGCAATGTTCTAAAATAATGGTAGGTAATTTAATGGAGACTACTTGTTTTTATAGCCTTCGCTTCAAAGTCAGTACAGGGCAGGCATTTGTCAAGGATTACAAATGACTCGTATTTGTAGCATTCGTCAACAGATGCTGGGGACGGTACTGTAAATTGTTGAATGTCAAGATGAAAATAGTTTATCTTACTTGGCCCTTGTTCAGCTGGGTTTTGAATTGGCACGCGCAGTGAAAAATCGCCATCGTAATCGTTGTCCTCGACGTATTCTTCGATCAGGAACACGAGGATCGAAAATCTTAAGTAATCATTTTTCGTTTTTGTGATTCTGGACCCATTAATTACGGGCAATCCTATGATTAAAAGCGGATGTTACTACTATAATTGAGGTGCAGTCTGAAGGGAACAAGCTACTGGAAATATGGCCGTTTTGGGTTTGACTAAATTTAGTATTACGAAATTTTTTTGGTAATTTGGATCTTTATGAAATTGAAAACGCCGTGTTGTGCAAAAACGACCAGTTTTCCTTGTCAGTAAAGTTCCAAAAAAAAGTGGTTTTTGGTCTGAATATGCTAGTTTCATTAACATAGATTGCATTAAAGCTATGCCACGCATCGGGCCCAAAACGTGCTTAAAAACGACATATAAAGCTTTACTACCAAAAAATTAAGGCCAATTTCACTTACCCAATTATCGCCAATACAAATGGAATAAGTCGTCGTTTCGCAACCGCTTCTAAGAAATTTACCATTTAGATCGTGTAATCGGATGGTGGCAGGGCCTTCCCGTAGAGCCCATGTGGCTCTGCAATTAGGTGCGCCATAGCACGCCGTTGACGCGCGTCGCGTGCCCTGCAGGGATAGAAAGGGGGGGCTTGGTCCAAAAGGGCCCTCTACTCTCTATCTCTCACCGACAATCTCTAGCCCTCATCCACATCCAATCCAATTGGATCGTCCCTTCCGGATAGAGCCCATCACAAGTCCCCCGCATCTATCCCGTAACTCTTCTCACAATCCGCCAATTAATCCAATCTCAGTAGAGAGCCCGCCGGCATCCATTTTATTCTCCCTTTCCTCGCCCTCTCATAGCCTGGGATGGGATTAATATTAGATGTGGCCGCGTTGGACTATGGTTCTCTTCCAATGTGGCTGATCTGGGTGCATTCCGTCGGGGCTTTTGGTCCAAAGACCAGAAAAATTCATGGTTTGGGCTAATTCTCAGGCTGTTAATTTAAGAACGAATTTGATGTAGGTTTTATATTGTTAATCTTTGGAACTATTGCCGGAAATCCTTTAACTCGACCAGTTTACTCTTCCAACATACCTAGGTTGCTGTAGGTAAAAAGTATTTCCATAGAACCCGGCCAATCGAAGATAATTTTATGTCGTAATTCGGTCCTGCAATCAAACGATTTATCGATTACTGAATATCACAAAATTAGACAGAATATTCAGAATCCAGGAATATACATTTCCAACTACGGCTTTTGCAATACTCCACAAGGTCTTCCGGAGCCGGAGGGCCTTAATCAGGAAATTAATTTCTCCCAACCGAACGCTCTTTACAGCCGTAATCCTGGAGATTACACCAAAAAAAACTCAAGAAATTCAGAATTCCTTTTTGTTTCGCGGGTTTCTCTTCAAACCCCCTTAGAGGTATAGTTGTTGCCGACTTTTGTATTGTTTTCCGGAAAACGGGCCCAAAACACCCAGTCCTTGGCTTGATCGCCTATTTAGGCCCACCATTCCCCCCGATTTGAAGCGATTCCGTTGTCAGCTTTTGGGTTGCGGGGATGACGTCCGTTGGCGATGCTCAGAATGGTCTCGACGCGGTCTTTCTCTTTTCGGGCTCCGCGTCGATGTTTGCCGACAACCCCCTGGCCTGCTCTACCGTTGAACCCAGCTCCTCTTTTCATCGGACCGCCAGCCAAAGCGCACAAATTAGCAACTGCCACGGGCTCGGGAATTTTAGAGCTATCGGTCATTTGTGTTTTCTTACAAGATCTCATGGCGATATTGGCGCGTTCATCTTCGACAAAGAATTTCCTAAAACTGATTGGTCGGAATTCAATATATAAATCTGTTATACAATATGCCTCGTAACCGGTAAAACGGTCAAAATTGTATTTAAACTCCAATACTATGTATTCTAGTCAAAAATATGATGTATTCTAGTCATTTTTTGTAGTTTGGCCGATCAAAAATATATGCGCCTCTCTGTGAGGGGTCGCGCTTTTTTCACGAATTCCTGTCGACGTTTATTGCAAAAAAGCCCTTGGTTCTTATTACCTGACATCCAGTATATCTTTTTCTTTGCTGTAACACATCCTGAACGGACCTATTTCTAGCCACCTAATCCCCTATATAGTGCCCTTTTGAGGGTATCCCTGTTAGAAAAAGTCGTTCGTAGCCACGGGATGTGGGAACAAACAGCCGGATAATTCTAAAAACCCCTTGATTTTCCCGCATTGTGTTATGGTGTGTATCTGGAAATTATTTTGGCTAGATGAGATTTGGTACCACTTACCTTTCTTCCTAAAATACGTCGAGCATGTTTTTCCTGTTACTTGCATTCTATTTTTATAAGTTCATCCGAAAACGTCTGCGTACCTTCAGAAAATTTTGTTCAACGCAGGCGCACCGCCTTTCCATGGTCACCCATTTCCTATCTTCGTTTTTGGTACGTCAAAGGCCTCTTATTCGCACCTCCCACGCCGGCGATAACCCCAGGAAAGAAACGGAGTAAGCCCTAAGCCTTACACGACTTCCGAGCGCATGTGTTTAGTGATCGCCAAAGTCTTATCGCGAATCCGGAAACATCAACCCTTACAAAACCGGTCGCATAGGTTCTCAATTTCGATGCCGCGATTTTTGCTTTCCAGATTCTTGCATTTTCCCCCGTCTTTTCCTCCCCGCTCCTGCAACTACAAATTTTGCCTGGAATGGCAAAGTCCATGTTTTCATTATTCAGCGCCGCCGCATTGATTCGCGTGTTTTTACTCAAAGGGCGCGTTTGCTTGCCCGGCAATGGATTCGTAGCTTTATTTTCTATCAAATTGTCGCTAAAATATCTTATTTGGGATGCTGTGTGTATGCAGGGGTATTTACAGGTGAATTATGTATAGTTTTGTAAAGTTTCTCATACTTATTTCTGGCGCATAAAATTTGATCTTTGACTTAAAAACTTTTTTAAATATTAAAAATTTTCCGGGTTTTGACCTGAATAGTTCCAAATTTAAATTATAAAGCTAAAATATTAATTAAAATATTGTCTATATGCAGACGCATTTTCAGATTATATGTAGATCTGTCAAATGTACCACCTGGTTGTTAGTTTCGTCCAAACAGCGCGATCTTTGACCAAAACTTTTCCAAATATTTCAATTTCTCCAATTTTAACCTAAAAAATATTCCCAAAAATGTCAATTCGAGACGATTGTTATTTGGGGTTTTTCGAGTCGCTCACCCCTGAGTGGGTAGTGTGACGTGAAAGGGGGCACTCCCCGAAAGAATCGAACTCCAGAGCAAGACGTCGATCCGCAGCCCCTCTTTTCCTCTTCGCTTTTTAGCCCCCTCAACTCCGCGCTCCTATCAACGCTCAAATGCTCGACATAGCCGTCTTGTGTGTCGGGCCTACTCATCACCAATCGTCTCGTGCTTATTCATGACCTCGTGCAAAAATACGGTACCCAGTTTTACCCACCGCGCTTGTTGCCTCGGCATGCTTTCTCATTTGCTACCGGTTTTTAGTGGGTGGGGGGATGATTAGTCATGTTTTTCTTTTGTGAGAAGGGCCGGTTTGTACTCTGAATCCGCGGATCTGATGAGCCATTTCTGGACTTCTCTGATATGATTTTTTAAGCTTAGAAGTCTTGACAGTTTATTGCTCCACTGTTTTATGGCACCACAATCAAACCCAGGCGGTCAGCTATCAATCGCTGACTCAGTGAACCCAAAAAGTTTTTTGGGGGAGGTTCCGTTTTGCCGATACGGTCCACGGTGATCTTGAGTGTGCCGTCTAAAGATCAATGGTTAACCGCGAGAATTAGATGCCGTCTTTCGCCTCAACCCTGCAGAAACCGGAGACGAATAGCCGGGGCCGGCCGCGGCTCTCAGATGTTTATTTTTAAATTTTTTCTCCGAACGTCCATCTCGGTGAATCAGGATTTGTGATTCAGAGCTGAAAGGGCCTCGGGACGCTTTATCGTGATTTCTTTTGGGGTGGCGATGGGCATAATCCTTTTTCGTGGCAGGAGCGGCACCTTCGATTGGGTCGCAGGGAATTGCTGTGCAGGTTTTTGGTGGTGACAATGATTTTTTTGGGTTTACCGTCTTTATGACCTTGGATGGCCCGTTTTTGGAGTTATCTCTTTGGAATTATGAAGTACACGGTTTTAATTCGGTATATGTGTAGTCATAATGATTCCATTCCCTTTGAATGGCTCGTGGGGGGCTGTTTGGGCTTTTTACTGGGCTTCTAAAAGGGGTTCCCGGTGCAAAGTGTAGCCCTCTGAGTCAGTCGTTGAAGAATTGCGGGTCCATTCGGCCGGCAGCGAACATCTGCCCCCAGTCGACTTTCATTGCCCGTTTTTATAATAGGCGCTCGATCACTGGATTGGATGGGTCTGGTAATTCGATTGCGATTACGTCAATTGGGTAAATATCATCGCAGCGCAAAAAATGGCAATTTTAGCATAATGGTTTTGCATTGAGTTTTTGTCTGAAATCTTGCGTTTAGTCAGCCTCGAATCAAATAGGGGTTTTTTTCTTGCCGCTTCCTATACGTACTGGTTTCTTATTGCTTGGGGGCGTAAACCTTTCCATTTGTTGTTTCCGCCGGCTCGCGTCATTCCAAAGACGTTGAGTCACGGCTTCACCACGTTCCCAAATTTACGCTATCCTCTTTGTGGGGGGACTAGGAATGCTTTGTCTGCCCACGCCGTTGAATCAAGGTGTTGCTCATCTTATTTGACCTAATTTTTGATTATAAATATCATGGCATACGCAGATCATACTTTTGAGATCTTGCAGACTTAGTCATCTCCAAATTTTTTAATTAATTGCAAAAATATGTATAATTATATTCTAGGCTATGAGTTAGCGTGCTTAAAATCCCCATGCAAAATTTAGAGCTCAGGTTACGCAAAAGAATAAACAACGCGCTTTATTTCTGTTTTTATAAAGTTTTTTACTTGAGTGTGACTTTTATCTGTATCACATCATTTTTATATCACCGCAGATATAAGAATCTGTAACCGTTTCTATTAATTGCTAAGATGACTTATTTATATATACGTAATATGATGGTTTTAAAGGACATTATCCAAATAAACCCAAAAATTCAAATTTCTGGTAAAAATAATTTAAAATTTAAATAAAATTTAATGCACTAGTAAGGAAAGGATTTTTGAATTTTAGAATAGATATCAACTCGTCATGTACTACCTTAGAGTTTGCAACAAACACGTCATTCCTATCCTCGATGTCAGACATTGAGTCAGATCATTCAATTGTCCTAAACCCTCTTTCAAAACCCCTATAATCTCGGCTATCATCAATGACGATGACCGAAATGTTTTGTCTCGCCCCTCCCCCACGTGGGTAGGTAGGGCTGGCCAGAGGGCCAGACCCACACCTAAAAATATTTCGGCTCTTTTACAGGGCGAGTGTGAGCTGTTTGGGTGGGGGGATGGAAAAGGGAAGGAGGATCGGACCCCCCTATAGGTATGACTCATTCACATACACACACATCTGGCCTGTGCAAACCTTTCGCCCCTTTCCACCCCCTTCCCCCCAACTATTAGGTTGGACCGAAAGTTCGTGCAATATTTTTCAGTATTTTATATTTTCGTTCCGGAAAACGTTTTAGGAAAAAAAATGTTTTAGTGAGTGACGTATGCACAATCAAATTCTCTAGTTGAGCCGTGGGACGAAATCGCAATCCATTTCCCTTAGAGTTTTTTCAGTTTGATTTACTAGAAAATCGAAAAAGACTGCGAGCCGCCGTTTCCAAAACAGTTCCGATTTATCGTTTTGCATATTTCTGCATCTAAATAGTAGCTAAAAAGTATTATTTTGCTCGCGTCACTATGCTATGGTAAAGTTATGGTGATCCTGAAAGATGTCCGGGTCAAAAATTTGCGACGCCTCCTAAAGAAATGCAAAAATAATAAAAACTACTGCGCCTAAAATCTTGTAAATTTTATCACACATACTATTAAACTCAGCAAATATGGTGGGAAAGAAACAATGATATTGGCCCACAAAAATTTTAGAAAGAAATTTTCGAAGTTCGATTGTACGAACTTATGGTCCAACCTAATACTTGCCTGACAGCCCCCTTTCTACTCTTTATTTTTTTTCTTATTACCTATTTGCATTCTTTAACTATGTATATTGTACGCATATAATCATTCACTACCTCATGCGTCACCGCCTGTACCCAAAATATCGATCGCGTGGCTCATGCCGCCTCGTCTCGCTGTGGCTCTATGACTAAAGGAACCGGAATCTACCTCTTTCATCTGTCTCTATCTTTCTCTGTCTCCTTCTCTCTCTCGCCACTATGTCTCTCTTTCTCTCTCCGATTCTCTAAATTCGCCCTCACCCCCTGCCACAGTACTATCTGATCAGATTATGTGCCATCCGACCCAGCGCCCTATATTTTTACCTTTTCCGGTTTTTCTATTTGTTCAGCGTGACATCCATTTATCACATTTTTGCGTCACGCTTATTTCTCCTTTTCGGCACGATTTTTTGGAGCTTAGGCGTTGGCAATAATTGATTGATAGAAAGGAGCATTAACGATTTTTTTTATGTTGGGGAGAGGTAGAAAATTTGTTGATTCGGTCTGCTACCAATGCAATGCTTAGAACAGAAACAAAAAGCAAAGCCAAGTGAAGTGAGAATCGGGGCTACCTTTTACCCATTAATGCTGCGATTGTTAGGCGAGCCACCTCCCTTCCCATTCATTCCATCCGTGCAGTCTCTTACTTATCACTCAAGCCTCCCCCAAACCGCCAGCTTTCATCTTTGATACATTGATACCCCGGGCCAGCTGCCCAATCGATCGGTCCCCAGATGACCTTCCATCAAATTTCAGGACATTCCAATGTTTTGGACGCTGCTTCCATCGCGCTCCCACTGACCACATGAACAACCTTGGATATCAGATCCAGTCGATGTTCAACCGGCTTCAGACGGCACTCACAGGTTGGTTTTCTATATTTTGTGTGTAAATCAGTGACTTTATGAAGCCTTACGCTTTCTGGATTGTTTTATTAGCGTTAAACAAAAATTTTTTTAATCTGCAACAATTTCGAGTTTTCCAAATTGTTTCCATGTTCGTTATCTATATCAGAGCCATGTCGCTATCCGCTTTCTGGTTCGTTGAACCTAAACGCCCTCATTTGACCACCCCCCCGTTACCTGAACCGATCGTTCCTATAAAATACCGCGAAAACCCAATATAATCCAATCCAAAATGAAAACCTTCCCCCTAGGAGCTCAACAAAACAACCGTATCCTCGAAGATGTCTTCACCCCTGGAGTTTCTCAACTCACCCTCAGTCCAAAGGTATTTGTAATTCAAGATTAAACCTAACCCCACATTTCTAGACCCGACGGACATTTGAAAGAATCGTAAAATTGATGGATGAGGTGTGCAGGAATTGCCAAAATCCAAGATTGAACCTGAAAAATTCCCCACCCTTTATCTTGGATATCCTCCCCGAAACGTACCAGGTAAAAACGGCTTAATTAAAATATAAATCAACAATGTCTCTTTAGCTCCTCGTCTCGATCTTCAAAGTGGAACCGGAAATCCTCCGGGACAACCTTTATTTGAGGACATTCTTCGAAAACGTTTACGCGAAATGTAAGGGGGTATGTTTTCAAAATGAATGCTTATTGGAACCTGGTTTTCAGATGTTAAAACTCTTCCGAACGAATGCCATCTATGAAGATAACACCCAAGAACGAAGAAGCCTCACCAAATATTCCCTCATATTCAGCCATATGCTATCAGAATTAAAGGTAATCTCATGGACATCCAAAAATTAATCTAAATCTTAGGCAATATTCCCTGCTGGTCAGTTTGTCAGTGACAAATTCCGAATCACAAAGAAAGAGGCCGCCGATTTTTGGGAGCTCTCTTTCAAGAACAGGTATTTAATTAAATTTTTTAGTATTATTGTTTAGCTTTCAGTCATTTAAATTTTACAATTATATTTTCAGCATTCTGGTGCCATGGCCGGAATTCCTGAAAGAATTCTCGAAAGTGCATAGGATCACGGATTTGGAAGCGGAAAAGCTGAAGAAAACGGTCGATCTCACCGGCAACGATTATGTATCGAGTTTTGAATTTGACGTTTTTACCAGGTAATTCGGATGTTATATTTTTGAGCCTAAGTCTTTAAGATTGTTCTATCCGTGGAAGTCCATTCTCCAAAATTGGCAGCTTCTCACGACGGCCCACCCCGGTTTTGTAGCCTTTCTAACATATGATGAGGTGAAAAAGATGTTGGAAAAGCTGACGAGTCGACCGGGAAGGTTAGTATACAAAATTTTTGTATTGGTTTTGATTTTAGCTATGTATTTCGCCTTTCCTGTACCCGGTTGGGACAATGGGCCATCGGATATGTTGCACCGGATGGGAAGATCTACCAGACAATTCCGCAAAATAAAAGTTTGATCCAGGCGCTTATCGAGGGATCAAAAGAAGGATTGTGAGTTGTCGGATTTAAAAATAAAATCGATTTTTTTTTCAGTTATCTCTACCCCAACGGCCAGACCAAAGACATTGACTTGACGGGCTCGCTGGAGAGTATGCCAGCCGATAGAATACGGGTTACTTCGGATCAATATGAGGTATCCATACCATGATACCAGTATAGTATCGATTTTAGATTTATTGTGAAATGGGTACGACGTTTGAGCTGTGTAAAATTTGCGACGACAATGAGAAGAACATCAAGATCGAGCCTTGTGGTCATTTATTATGCCAGCAATGCTTGACTAGTTGGCAGGTATGCAATTTCAACCTCTATAAATCCTAAATTAATTTTAGGATTCCTCAGAGGGTGGTAACTCATGTCCATTCTGTCGATACGAAATTAAAGGAACGTCGAGAGTAAGGAATCGCCGCAAAAACTTGGAAGTTAACTTTGAATCCAGGTCGTCATCGAATCTTTCGCGCCCCGAAGCGATGCCAGGAAAATGTCAAAAATTAGCCAGCAGCGCTCCCTACGATGGTCTCCACCTCCCGACACTTGCAATAAAGTGGCACTTGTATGTAAATTTTAATATCTAAATTGCATGCGCTGCGGTGTGCTTTCGAAACCGTAAAATTGTATCCCGAGTTTTCTCCATTAACTTTCCCTTTGACGTGTGTAAGTTACAGGTGAAGCTCCGTTCGTCGTCGGACTCCGCTGCGAGTGAGCCGCCCTTGGCTGAGAATCCCGTGTCTACGCGCTCCTATCAGAGCATTGTGCTCACCGAACGCCCATTGGATGAGGTCTCATCCTCGTCGCAGAGGAGCAGCAAATTGGTGCGGATTCCGGATTATTTTTTAATGATGGCACGGAGTGGTTTTATGCGAATTGTGAACTTTCATCTTACAACGACTTACTACTAAAAAATAAACTTTCCTAAGTTTGACCAACGTCCAGTAACGTACTGCAACCATTTTTTTGTCGTGCTGAATAACCATCACCTGTGTGATTATTTCCAAAGCTTTTGCACCTCCCCCTTTTCTAGCAACCAATGATGGGTACCGCTATCCTATCCGCCAGAGAAGACTTCCGACATCGCCGAGTACAGGTAAAATTTTTCCTCCCAAGCTTCTCTGTCCCACCTGTCGTGTGTGCAGCACCATTTTATTTAAATATATTTTAACTTTATTTTCTTTTAACTTTGCTCATTCAGGACCTCGAGTTCGACTCGCCGGAACGAAGGGATTCGGATGAGTCAACGAGTGCTGGCCCGCCAATTCCGCCCAGAAAGGTTTTGGTGCAAGTCTGTGATGGTGTACGGTCTTTTTAGTCATCACCGGTGGTAGAACCGGAACTTCCGATGGCACCGCCACCACCACCTCGGCCGCCCAAGACCACACCGGTAATTTTTTGCTTGCTTTATTGGGGGAAGGTGTCAAAGCATGTAACGTTGAAAAATTAAAGTTCAGATCTTTAACTGTTTCCTTCTATTTAGGAATCCCGTTCTTCAAGAAGAAATAGCAACTCTTAAGTTGGAAAAACGGTATAGAAAATGCTTGAAGCCCTTACAGACAGCGCTTTTTTTATTTGAAAATTATTGGGCTTCTGGTGTAGTTAGAAGATGCGGATCAACTAAAGGTTTCTTAATAACCGTAACCCTTTAGAAAATCAAAGAAGGACCCGTTTACGTCAACGTCGCCAATGACCCAGATGCCGGCACGACATCATCTACCGCATATCCATAGAATATCGCCGACCATCTGAATGTGATCAATTCAGCAAAAATTCTTGCTCAGCCAACCCCCATCCGCATATGGCCCCCACCAATACTTTTTCATCCTTAAAAAGAGCTGTTTCCCCTACGCGTATCTTTTCTCCATTTTAGCAATACATATGGGTATTTATTTCAGTGCTGCGCCAGGCGCTCTAGCCTTGCACTTTTCCTAAAATTATGTCTTCGTCTTCTTGGTCGAAAGCTTTACCAGTCATTTTGCTGCCCACCCCCATTTTTTCTATAGACTTTGCATGCAAAGTTGTGATTATTTATTTCTAAGAACATCATCACTTTCACTCGGTGTCCCCTCCAAATGCCTCTCTCATATTGGACGATCAGTATTTCAGCCCCCCTTCCCTTTTTAATTTGCATATCTGGCCCGCGTTATGCCAAATGCCTTCTGACGACATCAATTCCATACATTTCTTGCCTGCACGTATTTTGTCCCCGATTTTTTTGGCTAGACCAGTGACATTTTTCGATAGGTCCCTCATGTGATTTTGTTTTGTGAAATGGATTTATTGAAGTTGGAGACTGTAAAAGATAAATAGTCATATGAAACATGCTACGAATCGGTTAGGAGTTCTTGAATGGCGGCATCTGGGTTGAAATCATTGGGTAGGTTGATAAGATCGGTGACGATTGGGAGTTCGAAAGAGCAGACTTTTGAGATGAGGAAGATTAATCGGCCAAATCTAGGGGAACTTTGAGTAGATAAGTAAAAAAATCAGTTTTACCTGGCTGAGTTTCCACCGGATTGGAAAATTTCTTTGTGTAAGGATTCTAGAGCGGCATCGAGGAATGTAGGTTGTTGCAGACCGGTTTCTGGAAATTAGGATTTGCTAGGGACGTTGATCCCTTTAAAAGACCGATATCCCTTGACCCTAAGAGTCACAGCTAGGTCCAGCTGACTCGACTGCGGGGATACTTATAAAGGCATTGAATCGTGATCGAGGACATCCTCGACGACGTCTGCACCTGACATCTGTCACCACCTTTGAGCTCGCGGCTTTTTGATCGATTTGCGGCAGCGGGTTGTATGTTAGACTCCGAAGAAGTATTTAGCTAAGTTAGATGTATTTGGTTTCGTTACGGCTTCAAAATAGTTTTAGAAAGAACTTTAGAGTTTACGGATTTCTTTTAATAAACGCCCCTTCTCCTTCAAATCATTCAAAATATTGTATTTTGAAATTTAAAAAGTGTAGATGGAAGTTCAGTGAATGTTTTAATCCTGCCACCATTAGCGGGTTAAAGTCGTAGATGGTAAAAACGGATGGAATTTTCCAAAAAATGTCGATCTTATTTACCAACGAATTTCGGTATTTTGTACCGAAAAATATAGTGCTCCACTCTCAAAGCCAATTTTGTAATAAAATCTCCTTTTAGGGATCTTCAAAACAGATAAACTTATATTGGAAGTCAATACATATTACGGTGTTGCAGACGAATTCAGGCTACAGCACAATTTTTTACCGTTTTCATGAGTTGGCCCAGATTTTAGACCTCAACCAACCCATCCCAAGCATCACACCCCATCCCCTTGTTTGACCACAAATTCCGAGAACTCAGCAACAAGTGCCGAAGTGCCATAGCGGGAGGGATCGGTTTTCGGATAGGGGAACCACACCACCCTGTTGCCCTCCCCCACCCAGTCTCCCTCCACCTCCCCCCAGAGATGCGGCTTGTTGGCACAGCGAATGGCCAAAACGTAATGGAGTCGGCGGTAACAAAGTTTTGACGGAAGCAGGCGATGGGGTGGAGGCCCGGTGGGGGGACCACAGGGAGATTGCTTCCACAAAGAGGGCACGCTTTAATGGAAGGGAGGGGGGGAGGGTATGTGGGATCCTGGAGGCTAGATGGGTGCTTTACCCTCTCCCATTTATGTATCAGATGTCTGCCACGATGGCTAATTCAATCACCGGATGGCCCAACAGAGAGGGGAGATGAGGAACCGAGGGTGGTTGCCGCCAAACATGCTACCGTAGTACCGAATTGGGGGGGGGGGCGGGAGGATGACGAGGGGGATATATTTTGGGAGTATTGGAGTCTAGAAGTGATCAGATGGGAAAGAAAATAATATATGACTATCATCCATTAATAATAGGAGTTATCCATAGCCACACCTGATTGCCTACTGAGGGCATTTTCTTTACAACTTAACAGAGGAAAACCCGAAAAATTTTGTGAATTTTGTGAAATCGATTTTGACTACAAAAATTGGATTTTGTCGTTCAAGATTTTGAATATACAAAGATCCACGATATTTTATAAACCTTAAATCGACATTTGCATTTTCAGCCCTAGAAATGGTTTTTCTTAGATGAGCTACTATTTTTCCATCACCCCGTATGGGACAAATTTATTAGAGCTTATAATATAAGAAACATCGAATGAAGATTGTATCTTCGTCTATCCATTTCTAATGGTCCCTAGCAAGCCACGAAGTTAATTCCAGCCCTGCTCAGTTGCCCTCCACCACCAGATTATCCCACATTCAACCCGAAAAAGCATCAAGCCCCTCCCGTTCAAAACACAACCTCATCACCAACTGCCTTCGAGACACTATACCTACCGGACATTACAACTTCGAAAATACCCCCATTGACGAGCCTAATTGTTTGTCCACCCCAAATTCTCCCCAGCACCAAATAACGCGTCAATTCACGCACCGGAAATTGCCGCGAAATGTGACTTCCCCTGATCCCAACTTCAGTTTCTATTGTCCCCAGTTCTCATATTATTAGGGGTAGAAAGTGCAACATCAAGCGCATAGCCACCCTCTTGTAATTGTTCTACGGAAAGGTGCGGAAGGCCCGGCAGAATCGTGTGCCCCACTTACTTGGCGAGTACACGGCAATTTCGCGCAATCGACACCATTCCATTTTTGTCGGCGAAATGTTTTTGAGGAGTTCGAGTAAGAGGAGGGCTTCGCTGTTATCATCGGCAAGGGTACCGGTTTCAAGCTGGGAAATCAGAAGTAGATATGGCCAATTGGCATGTACAAGTTGTTCCTAAACACGACATTGCGAAAGTTAGTAAGGGTATAACCTTAGCATCACGTCCCAAAACTTCGTACGGCTTCAAAGAAATTATCCAATCAACAACAAGCCGGAAACGTTGTTCAAAAGTTAGGATCTAAAATGACAATTATCGAAAAGGAAGTTGAACTAACCAGCGGTTTATCGTCGTTGAGCGCGTCTTGACATATCCCATGATTGACAAAAATCGAGGTGGAGTCGGGTTGTGATAAAACTGCTGATACAGCACCGGCATATTCACTAAAATTTAGATCACCCTCAAATTGGGAATTAAACCCATTACCGTAGGAAATTCCTGGAGTTAAAATCCAAATCATTGCTAGGCCGAATTGTTGCTGTGTTCCTGGGTTGTCTTTCGTTTTGGACTGCTAAAAATTTTATGGAGGAATTTTTGCGATCCGGCTATGGTTTTGCGGGCGTCTTAATATGAATAAATAAATTCTAGTCCCAATAAATCCTTACCATCCTTATTCATCCCCTTCTGTAAACACTTCTTCAATCGACAAGCTTGGCATTGATTCCTGTGCGTCTTATCGACAATGCAGGTCCCAGTTCCCGCCTGGCAGCGATAGATCAAACGACGCCGGACGGATCGTTTGAAAAAGCTAATTAAACATTAAATATAATTTTCCAAGACTTGCCCGGAGCACCCGTTGCACGCCAAAATCCCATAATGCTTCCCACTGCTGACATCACCGCAGACAGCGCACGAAAGTGTTGGCGAACAATCGGAGGGAGATGATTCGCGAATAGTCGATGCAGGAAATGAAGAAACGGATACAGTGGTACCATCAAATTCGGGAGGGCTAAAGCCAATAGTTTTGCATTGCAAAAAGTCATACCTGCTGCTGTTAAACCTGTTTTGTTGTTGCATCGTCATTGCCAAGGCGGCAGCCATATTGGGGTGGAAATAGGGAGCTAAAAGCCTTTTTGTACAAATCTTTACGATATGCTGACCGCTGCTAAACAATGGGTTTCCAAGGAGCATCGGGTTGGAGAACAACGAGCGGAAACCGTTCAGCTTGTCCTCGGACATTGTGAGGGCTATAATAAAGAGTTGGATGGGGAAAATTCAATAATTTTTGCGTCTATTGAGGAGTTTGACGAGTCTTAGTTTTTGGCAGAATAATTTTCAAGCTTACCTCCCCCTTTCTTGGTAGAAGCCGAAAAATTAAGTGGCTCATCATCGTCGCTCATTCCTTCTGAAAGTACAATTCTAAGCGAGTGAGACTTAAAATGCAACTAGAATTTAAGATGTAAGTATGATTATTTAGAAGCCCTTGAGATATCGTAACCCGAATTTAAGAATTTTAGATTTGAAAATATTAAGATAACCTTTAATAAAAAGATTTACGGTATATTCAAAGCAACAAAGGAATAATACACCAACAATCTAGCAAAACGCTAAGTATCGTGAGGCATCTGACAACATTCCGAAGTCATCGGAACATCCCCTCCGGCTACGGTAGTGGCGGCAAGGGGGGTGGGGTGAATACCCCGCCATGATCCCTCGCCGCACCGCCCCCAGCTCGTTGCAATTGGGCCAATAGTAGCCCTACCCCTGCCCCTAGAGGGCCCAGACCCCTCCAGCTGAGTCCCACCCAAAAGCTCTGGCCACCAAAAGCCCCATCCCAAATCAAAACAATTCCGCACTTGCGTCAGTAGGACATCAAGGGCCCTAGAGGAAGGGGGTCCCCTTTGAGGTGTCCCTATCGTAACGGGGCTAATTTGTGGGGGCGCAACGACGCAAGAGGAATCAGAGCTCGAGAACCGGTCCAAGGCTTTTAGGTGCAAGTTCTGAACGGAAGGTGAAGGTCAGATTGCATCTACTGTGATGCAAATGGTGCATTTCTGGTATATCCCGATAATTTGTCGAAACCGTTCCCATAGAATCCTTAATAGTAAAAATCTTGAATATGAACAATTTACCGACTTTACGCGAATGAATTTGGGGAAATAGGTTGTTCTTGAGCAATTAAGGTATCACATTATAATGTCGTAGGTCGCTAATTAGCTAATATCAGGAAAATTCAAACCGCGTAGATTTGAATTTAGAAATGGATTACAAGGTACAAATAAGATTACTACACGCAAAGATCCAAACCAAATACAACTAGCATTCGAGAATGTCGATTTTTATATATTGATCTTTTTGTAGACGGCGTAGGCCTCGGTTCAGGATAACACAAGGAAATATTTAAGCCAACATGCTTCTAAAATTTGAGAAAAGCAAAATAGAACTGGTCTTGTCCGATATTAAGCGGGGTTTATTCGAAACTTCAGATTTTCACAATCAACACTCAAAATGGGAGGTTTTTCTTGCTTCTGCGTCGAAAAAACCGCTTGAGACGTAACTTGCCCACAAAAATTTAGAGGTTTGAATGAAAACCGGTAGCTTAAATAAATGCCGAGATTTGGAGCGCATTTTGGTTAAATAAGCTCAACTAGAACTCTAGCCGCTCCCAAACGATTCCAAAGGACCATAGTCTAGAAGTACTCGCCACCAAATGCCCAAACGGCAACAGTGGCCAGCCATCGGAACCCACTATTTAGGGGAATGGGGTGGGGGGCAGGGCGAAGGTTTGCTTGTCTTTCACCCCTAACCGAGATCGCTGGAATTGGTGCCAGCTGCCCCCCCCTTCGGTTATCGTCCTGATGACCCAGCCCGCCTTTGACGCCACCGTAACTAGATTAGGGCATATGAGCCCCTGAGGCACCCATCCGCCACACAACGCCTTCCTTCCGTTGCCCCCACACACAATCCCATTTCCCGCAGAGGGCACATACAACCCCCGAAACAATAACATTTGCACTAACTGATGGAAGGGCTTGGAACATCCGGGATGGACATTCGAGGGATCTAATAACGTGTGAACTCAAAGGGCACAGTAGATGGGGGTATCGCCTTTAGATAACTCTGCTGTAGACCACTTACTGTAAAGTGTTTTTACTCAGGCTGGCGTTTTAGAATGGGACCAAGCTTATCTTGTGCAGAATTTTTTGCTGATTCCGAATCAGTTTTCCAAATTTGCTGCGGACTTTGCGTTAAAAAGTCATTTGGTCGAAATTAAGCTTAAAAACCGCATAACTTCGGATGCTGGCCCACTATTCCCGGCCTGGGTCCAGGCATTACCGTGCCCCTTATCCATCCTGCCGAAACCCCCTACCCATTTGGCACCGTGGTGCATTGGCAAGGTGTTCGCTTGCCATGCAGAGGGCGGCGGTTCGAACCCGCGCCCTTTCCTTTCCTTTTGCTTTTTGCACAACATCACGGAGTTTTTTGCACAAAATCGTCCTTTGACCTCTAAAACCGTTATCGAGCCAGGTTTAACGTTGATGATGACGACAGCTTAAAAATAACACAAAGAAATCCAAATTTTCCCAATTTTTTGGTATAAATGTCGAATAACTTTTTAAATAAAGGTCGGCAGCAGATTTGGAAGCCATATTCGGAATCAGCGAAAAATTCTGCACACGGTGGTGGCGGTGGTGCATAGAATCCAAGGAATCGCATTAATGATAACATACGAGGAATACGAGTTTTTAGGTTGACCTAAAATCCTGATAGACCATGCATTTGCAACCAGGCGTACCTTATTCGACAACGCATAAAATTCTGAACTAGCCCCTCTTTCAAAAGCCGCTATTCGATTTACCGTATTCGAGATAAAGTGTCGCAATATTTTGGTCAGCTTGTCAAGCAGACCCAAAAACAGAACAAAACTGACGATTTCAGAGCATGTTTCTTAAATCGGTAGATGGTTCCGAAGTATTTCAAAGAAGGTACTTTTCAGAATTAAAAACTCTGTCAATAAATCAAAATATCTCGAATTTATAGCCGCGCTTCGGATATAGGGTGCTGCGATTCTCTGTCGAAAAGCACAACCACCACCCAGTCCGGCAAGATCTTGTGAAGCGATTAGCGGGACCCAGCCTCCTCATGTTTTGACTTTTCTATCGCGGCCACTGCCAAACCCTACAGCTGCACCGTCCAATGTCTTGCGCATCCCATTCCACCCACCGCCGCTTCATTCCAATGATCCCATTCAAACCCTACACTTGCTCTTTTTATCCAGTCTATTTAAATATTTTCTTTCATTCTCAAGGGCCCCTAAAAAAAATTTTTGGCACAGCGACCATCAGAATAAACCGTCGGGGTGTTTTTCCTTTTTCTACCTGATTAAGAGCGTTCGTTATGATTTGCCCAAAGTATTAAGGGATTCATTTTCCCTGCTAAAGACCGGATAAAATCCAAAAGCACTTGAAGACGCCTGTAAACCTGGCGTCCAAACCTAAAGGCTAAATTTTGCGCAATTTCTGGCACGAATGAGCATTTGTTTGTTCTGGCGCTGCCATTGCAATTATTTTGCTGCAAATGCTAATGCAATTGCTCCCCGAGCGGATGAATCACGGGACAATAGCAGCCGTATTTTGATTTTTGCATAGTTGATGGTGTTTCAGCGCTCTGGTCTCTTTGTGTCTTCTCAGGCATGGATCCCCTAAATTTTACGAGATTCTACGATTTTTGATTACGATTATAGTTTTCAGAAATGTCGTACACTGTCGCCCAACATGTTCCGTCGCAGTTCACCCTGATGGCCATTGAGTAGGCACGGTCATCTCATGAAATCTGTTGTTTTTTAGCGGAAAAGTCCCATATTGGATTCTGACTTACCCTAGCCAAGTGCTCGACCGCCCTCCGTATGCGTTTCCTGAATTTTTCCTGCAAATATATCCTTAGGAATTATCAGGAATACGTGATCAACCTACGACCGGGCTCTTTCGGAGATCGGCGCCCAATGCTGACTGTTTCCAAGCTTACCGCTGCTGGGTGGGCATTTTATGAGGCGCAGAAGCGCGTCGCGGTGACCCACGAAGACAAGGTAAGCTTAGAGAATATTTTTTGTTTTCGATATAAATGTTAATGGTGTTTACTGATAAATTATTACAGCTGAAAATTGCATGCGCGCTCTTCGGGATCCCACTACCAAAGCGTGTGCACCGAATTATGGGTTTTCCAGATCACCAGGTCCATCATTGTACTGTAAGCAGCTTTGGTACTTTTAAGGAGAACTTCCAGGTCCTTTATCATTATATAAATTATGGGATCACTATTTTTCAAAAAAATGCCTCAAATTGCTTAGAATGGAATTTTCTTTCGTATGCTCGAAGAATTCGAAGAAATATCCCTCTAGATCTGGAAACTTAGATCTGGATGATCACCTCCTTGATTCAACCCATGTTTTCAGTACTACCTTCCAAGCAACCAGGCGCTGATCACCAGCTTCCACCCAACTTCTCCGTTGGCTACCGAGCAAGCTGCTGCTCGTCTCTTTCTTATGATTGACAACAGAGTGGTTCGCGTGAATCCTGAGTTTTATTATGTCGGTCACCCTGCTAGCGATCCACTGTCCATCTCTCTGGCTTAAACTATCTATTCTACAAACAATCTTAATTTTGGTATGCAAATTTCCTTCACTGACTGATTGGTGTATGATAAATTTACGGCTATCTTTGCATTTGAATAAATCTTTGGAGTTTTTTATTCGCTTAAAAAGATGAAACCTTGAACAAAAACAATTTGTGTACATCCTTTGCAAATCTGGCATCAGTTCCTGGTACACGACCTCTTTCGAATATGGAACAAGCCAACTAATAGTGGCCAGGCCACGTGGATTGCCATGAAAAATTCATGGGGTGGCTGTTGATTCGTTAAGGGTTGGGGCTGGTAGGGGGCTAATATCTGAAGGGAGAGGCTCGTTAGGGAAAAAGGGGGAGGAAAAGCGGGGGTAGAAGAAGGAGGGTAGGAGGCCCACTTCTTGAGAGCACCTTGGAGACAATACTCTTTGTCGTTGCTTGGGTTAACCCTTGCTTTAAAAAGGGGATATGCCGCTCAGACGTTCCATCAGCAGGTTGGTTTCAATTTCGAGTTTTGCATGGATCCCTATCGACGCTGCAAAAATTTCGGATTTAGAGGAGTCAGGAAGGTTCATGTAAATTAGCCTAAACTCAGTTTTCCTCTGGAAATTAGCATAATTCGAAGCTGCTCTCTCTGAACTGCCCATTCTCTTCTCCTTTTTTCGCATGGGATTTCTTCTTGGCTTGTCGGTCCATTCTAGAAATGAATTGATCTACCTGGGCCTGACTTGTCCCTTCAACATCTGGGTGTCTTCTTGCCGTATTTTCCTTTTTTGATACACTTATTAAACTTTGAAAAATGCTTAAGCAAGAAAATGTGAAATATAAAACCGGATCATAATTACGGCTTCCATTTCACAATTTTCAATAGCCATTCTTTCTCTCCAGCCACCCCAGACATTTTCTCAATTCCCTCACGGCTGGTTGCTTCCCTTCCTACCTTGACAGCTTAATGCATTTGGTTTTGGTCCTTGACCTAATGGAAAAGCATTCATTTCCTGAAACGGCAGCCCAAACAAGGAGGTAGTCAGTCTATTGTTTTGGAATAGCCGTAATGATTTTCACAAATTAGACCATTTTGGCTAATCGGCTTGGCTACAGTTCGTATTCTGTTGTTTTGACGTGGGACGTTACCTATAGATTCAAATCCAAAATGGTGCTCTAAGAAGTCTAGGGGGAGGCGGGGGGCACCCTCGGAAATTCGACTCTAATAACCGCGCAGATCGGAGGCATCGCCTGGGGACGTGTTCTCAAAGGGAGTACTCCGCTCGGCACTTCTCAACTACCATACCTCGATTCTGTCTCCCCACACTATGCGGCATCATAATCTATCACATATCAACCGGGATGAGCTTCAGGTAAGATTGATATTTCCCCTTTTATAATTGAGTCTAAAAAAGGTTGGTCTTAATTTTGGGAAATATAGAAAAATCTTACTTCTAACTCTACCGGTTTCTCGACCGCCATACCAATAGTCCCCCGAAAACAATAGAGAAGCCTTCTACCCCCAGCACTCCTCAAATTTGATCATCTACTTAGCAACAAATCTCCTTAAAGTGGGCTGTAGAGCCTTGGACCTGGGGAATCGGCTTTGTTTCAAGTATCGGCTTCAGCCCAAATTACTAGCACCCAGAATTTTCCCAGCTCCCCTGGATATTCCATGGAAGAACAGGAGTTAAAGGTAGTACGACAGCTCCGTCTATTATACAAAAACTCATTTTAATTTTCAGGATGCGATCCAGATGATCCCGGCGCGGGCTCGACGTCTCAGCTGGTTGATTCGAAGTCGAATATATTTTTATGTGAGCTATTGCCTTTTTCATCGTTTGCAACATTTATAACTGGCCAAAGGGTCAGCACTGGCGGCCGTTTCGGGGGCCTAGCGGCCACCGTTACACACACCCAGGACCCCGCTTTGAATAATAGATGGGTGCAAGGAGGATATAGCATTATACGGGCAACACGGAGGTGTAGAACGAGGAAAGAGCCTAAGCAAATTCCACGGGGATGGGCACGCAACAAATGGTCACTCGTGGGCCCCTGATTCAGCTCGAATTTTCGGACATGGATCGTGACAGAATGGGGGGGGGAGGCAAGGCCAGTATAGGAAAGGGCAGGGCCACGCCACCTGAGGAAGGGACAGGGTAGCCAGTCGGAAATCTGAATTTCTGAAACGAACATGCCGTACGGATGGTTTTGGCACGCTAGGTTTTTGGTTGGAATTGGGATACAGGTGAGGATTCATGGATTATAGAAAGCGAAAAAGATAAAGGGTATCTTAAATGTTAGACCCACAAAATTGTCACGGTAACAAAAAAAAAACAAAAATCCTCGACAAACTCACGGTTTCCTCGCTACCAGCCCATCTGCAAACGATTAGCCCTCGCGCCCAGCATTAGCAAAACAATCGCCTCCCAAAGCTTTTGGCATTTGAATAGATACTCCAAGTAATTTTGCGAAAAGATTTTGCGTGTTACAAGTCTTGCTCAATTCTTCATCCTGCCCAAGAACCCAGAAAAACCTGGAGGCCCAGATGTGCCTGGGAATTTGAAGACCCCGTCCCTCCAACTACGTTTTACATCCAGATTTTATTCAATTAACTTCATGCTTGATTTGAAAATTTAGCTATGGGAACCGGGTGGTTTTGGAATCAACCATTGTTTGTAAGTAATAAAAAATAAAAGTAACGTTAATAAACTTGAAATAAACTCCAGAATATATTTAGGAACCACCACCGCTCATCTCGCTAATTATGTACATCTTCACAATGATCCTATTTCTCCTGACATTCCCATGGTGCTTATTCTTTTGTGTGAAAGTGGCAAAGTAAGTTTTTCAGTGTATGCCTTATTTTTCCCCGAGCTATGATCTGCTGCCGCCCCAACGATTAGGGATAACCCCCAGATGTACTCTGGTGTTGCGCGGAAAACCCACTCCTTTTTAGGGAATACGAGAGGGTGGTTGTCTTCCGGTTGGGTCGCTTGATAGCCACGGGGACGAAGGGGCCCGGCGCGTTTTTTGTGCTCCCTTGTATAGACACGTGCAAATTTGTGAGTTCCAAAAATGAGGAGACTAAGGAATTTTATAATGTTTAGGTGGATTTACGGGTGTTAACCTTTGACGTGCCTCCTCAAGAGATTTTATCGAAGGACTCGGTTACCGTATCTGTTGAAGCCGTTATATATTTTCGGGTAAGTTAGGTGCGGATAAAACATTAAATTTTCGTTTGTTCCGGGATTTTCACTATAATAGGTTACACTTTTCCTTTTTACCTATAAAAATTTAAATTTTCAGTCTACCTTTGCATTTTTTAGGTATGCAATCCTGTAGTCTCCGTCACAAACGTCAACGATGCCATCTTCAGGTAGGCTTTGAGCACTTATAAGATTCTGCTTTTTAGTACAAAACTGTTAGCCCAAACGACCCTGCGAAATGTCTTGGGAACCAAAACCCTCAGCGAAATCCTGGCTGAACGAGATGCAATCGCAACCGTAAGTTTTTTTAGCCACTGGCTAACACGTTGAATATTTAGATCACCGAACAAGTCTTGGACGAAGGCACGGTACCTTGGGGTGTAAAAGTGAGCGCACGAGATGAAACTCGACTTTTTTGATCTTAGGTGGAACGCGTCGAGATCAAAGACATCCGACTACCATATCAATTGATGAAAAGTATGGCAACAGAAGCGGAAGCAGCTAGAGATGCCAGGGCGGCGGTCATTGCTGCTGATGGAGAGAAAGCAGCTAGCAAGTGAGTATTTGCGATATATAGTAATCTGATCCTTCTCTCAGATGCCTGAAAGAAGCCGCCGATGAAATCTGCAGTAATAAGGTCACCATGCAGCTACGATACCTTCAGGTGGAAAGCTAACAGTTTTCAAATCATCTTTTTCAGACCCTAGCCCATGTCTCTGCCGAACGAAATCATACAGTCGTTATCCCATTTCCCGTAGAGCTGGCAAAACATGTAATCAAGAAAATCGAATCAATGACAACGCTCAAAAAATCCTGATGGTATTTTTATCAATAAACAAGCTTCACTACGGAATATAATTTATTCGCGTTGTTTTTATGTTAGACATCGTTTAGTTTTCCTTGACCGAGAGCTCAAAGGTCTTGATTTCTTGTGGGTTGATATGAACGACAAAATCTGGAAAACAGCAAAGTATTTCTTGGCCATAATTACTTACCATCGCGAAGCCGGAAGAAATTCGTGATGTTCCGGTTTGCAGCCAGGCTCAGTTCCTTGATGGCGCTGATCTCGAAACGGGTGAACAGGCCCTATGTTTCAATGGATTTTCAAAAAGAACGAAGCATCTTTACCTTCAACGAAATATCCATCGGTTTCGAGTTAGTAGCTTCATCGCTACTTTGGTAGATGTGTTCAAGGCGGAGCAGCAGTGTCTTTCCACCCTTCTTTTCCAGGGTCAAAAGATTCACAAATGGCGGGAGTTCCCTTGTGAGTCCATCAAACTTAAATAGCGTGTTTTTCCTTGTTTTTTAGATAGTATTCATGCTTGAAGATCCTTACCTTAGTCACATATTTCGAGCGATAATCGGCAAAGTCCTCCACAGGAGCATAAGCCAAAATTGGTTCGTTAAATTTCTTTACGGCAAGTGGGCGATGTAAATCGGCAGCTCCCTAAATTTAATAACTTAAGTTCTGCTAGAAGGTTTTCATACCTTGGCGGATCCTAGGAGCAACCAATGAGAACCCTTAGCGACTAAACCCTTTCCATCTTTTCCGGGCTCATCCAAAGCTTCTTCCACTCCGAAATGATCGTCAGTGTGACAACGCCGATGCAGCTATGATAGATCGTATATAGAAATTCAGACCTACATACCATAATTTCGATCATGCCATTGCGACTTGTAGCACCTTGGCCTCGATCTGTGAGCACGGTGCATTGTGAATTCGCATCTTTGATATAAACTCGGCTTGTAATTGGATAATAGTTTCCAGCAACCGGCTCAGTGTCCTTGTAAGTGAAGGATGGGCTGTAATTGACTCTGAAAATTATGTATTTAAGACAAGCTATTCACTAACTTCCTCTGCATCATCTGACGACCATTGGCATCCGTGTAAAAGACTCCCTTGCTCTGGACATCGGTTACATATCGAGTGACTACCTCTCGGGTGATAGGGTTTCTACAGTTTTTTTAAAAACGGTGATTTCAAATTCTTACTTGTCTTCCTTAGGAATTGGCCCAACCACCCAATCGAATTCCACCTTTCGACTTCCATTAGACAATCGGATCACTTGATAGACCCAGTCATTGACCACCTGTCTCACTTCTTGCACTAGCTCGCCCTAAGAGCAAATAACAAATTAAACCACCTCAAAGCACGTACCTTTGTCACTTCCAATTTGCATGCCGTGCTGACCGAGCTCACGTTCTGGTCCAATGGCCTGAAGATGTAGGCGCCAGATGGTTGGGTATCATTTTTATCGGTCACTCCCTGACAACTCTCCGTTTTCTTTTCTCAAGCTTACTTCATAGAAATAGAATTGTTGCGCGAGCTTTTTGGTTGTATTTGTCTTCTTGTCAAGGTACGATTCCAGGTAGCCATTTGCATCAAAATCCAGACGAACAAGCTAAAAGAGATATGTAGGGCTATGTGTCAAAAATTACTTGATTTTCGATGAAAATTTTATCGTTCTCCGTTGTACGGATGCCAGCTCGAGGCGAGAGATATTTTCTGAAATCCTATTTGGCATGAAAGTACAATTATGGTACCCGTTAGCAGATTGCTTGATAAAGTAGGTTCGGTAACCTAGAGGTCCAACTTCTACGGGGAGGTACAGTTCAAATGGCGCTGTGTCACCAACGGATATTGTGGGGATAATGAAGGTTTTGGACACCTAATTTCATAATAATTTTCAGAAAGTTATCGATTACCTGGACATCGACCTTATTGCCTTTATCATCGACCACATTCGCTCCTCGAGTATGGTATGGTATCTTCACAACGGTCCGTGTGCTCTGCCCAAGCGGGTTGAACACCGTCACAGCAACTGATGGCTGTCTAATTACAAATTTCCCCCCGAATGGTCTATAAACTTCGTTTCAGGGCACACGGTTTCGTTGGTCAACAGGCACAGTTTATACTGGGCTGGTGCCTTTTTGCTAGGATTGACGGCCAGGGCATCGTTGATGACTTGCTAAAAGAAAGTATTGGGAGTTTAATTAAAAGGTCTGAAAACCTCCAATTCAGTCAGGGCTTTGTGGAGTCGTAGTTCGTAATCACGAGTGACATTTTCTTTAGCAGTTCCACTAAGATATTTTTTTCCCCTCTAGAATTTTTTTTCAATTTACGTGACAGCATCGTGGTGTTGGGTCAGCGCAGAAGCTTTCTTCATAATCTCTACATCACTGTCGTCAGTGGGACCGAGGAAAAATTGCGCATCGAGTTGCTTGGCGAGCTAAGAAGAAAAAAGTTAGAAACTTTAAGGGAAAGACTAGATACCTGCAGGTAAGAGCTGGCTTTTCGAATCATTCCTTTCAGCCCAGGACGGCTTGTAAAATATCCGGTCCAGAAGCTATGCTCAGCAGAGGCATATCTTTGTGGAAATGAGGCAAAAGCAAAAATCCAACGGGAAAAAGTCGTCGTCCTTGTTCGGGAGGTGCGGCATCATTTCGCTGACCGCATTAACATAACACGCCGGCGTTGAATAGAGGACATTGACGTTCAACGATTTCTGCAAGGAAAATAAAATACAAATTACGCTAAAAGTCATACATTTGCATTTACATATTTGATTAATTTGTCCATGTTATCGAACCACGGATTGGCATTGGTATATTGGAAATCGCTTCCCATCAAGAGCATGACATTGTTGGTGCGGAGGAAGGATGACTAGAACCAATATCATAATTTTCTGTAGTTGTTACCTGATTTCGAACGTATTTCACGAATTCGGCAACTTTTTCGTCTACATTATACTCCTCAAGTTGCGGGTTATCTTGAATCGGATCATCCCCACATAGGGCATCCCAGCAAAAGCCTGGTGGTGGCCCATAGTTGTCTTGGAAGAAAGCTCCGGTCAATAGTTGAGTTTCTAATTTGTGAGATCGAAAGCAGTTCGAATATCCATACTCAAATCATCAGAAGCATTCCAGATAAACTCCAAGCTCTTGTTCCTCAAGCGTAGATCCTTCTCGAGATAATGGATTCTCCAGAAGAACAGAGCATTGTAGCCCATCTGTAAAATTATTGTAACTGTCCCAAAGCGTTACCATAGCGAACAGATTTGCCATTTCACGGCTATGACCGAAGGGGTCAATTTGCCAGCCAACAGTAGGCTTTCCGCACTCACCAAAAAGACGTTCGAGTTTTTCCAAGCTAAACTATGAGTTTTAACCAATCAGTTCTAATCGTACCCAAAAGTCATCTGATCGATGATATCAACATAATGGGAAGAGGCTTCATCGTTTTGTACCCAACCACCGCCGATGATTTCGATTTGACCTTAAAAATTCAGGAAATAGGCGCTTTCGAAGTTATACCTACCATTTTTCACCAGTTTTTGCAAGCGATGTCTGTCATAATCACCGTGTGAAGAGGTCCACCGGTGCAGGAATCCGGTTTCAGCAAATGAAAACCTGATCGAATGCTGTTTTCAAATTACTTAGGTATACCGGCGATCTGGATGTTTTTCCAATTCATCGATAACCGTGTTGTAAATGTACTGTACTCCAACTGGCACCAAGTCAGGCTTGGCTAAAAAAGCTATATCCTCAAAAATTTAGCCCTACTTCCGTAATAATACTGGTCCACCGTCTTGATCCATCCCAAATCATCATGGGTATGTGGAACCAAGTGAACATTAATCACATTTTTATCGTCCGACCATGGATTGCATTTCTGAGACGATAATTTGAATTAAGTTATGTAAAGTACCTCCCAGGAACAGTTGGCCGCTAATGCCGTCCCGAAAAACAGCAGAAATATCATAATCGATTGGGGAGAATGATATGAAGTGTGCCGCGACCCGCAGATGTATTTGCCCGCCAGGCACGGGCAGTGGCCGACCGTTTAGTTAGAGGTGGGAAGGCACTGATAGATTTTTGCGGACAATCGTCATGTCTAGCGAACGTTTGTAAACAGTGGGGGGAAGAGCTGGTGGATTCTTTTTTCTTGCACGGGAGGGTTTTGGGAGAACTTGATCTGTGTAAGGCGAGGAAAATCTAAGGTTATTTTTGTATAGGAGTTGCAATTTCGGTGTAGCCTTTGTTTCCTTTCAAAAGATAGTTTTATGAAATAAGATACCGTATTTTTTATTTTATTTAGCCTCCGGCCTGGACTTTTTATTGGCAGGATTGCTTTGAAAATTCATAACCAAGAAAAAGGCTTATTAAAGATGTCTATTAAGTTCCTAGATGCTTTTAATCCTTTTTAACTTAGAAAGCCCATTATATAAGGGCAATGCTGTAATTATACTACGGCAAAGGCAAAATTTGTGTCTTTTCTAGAGCTTTTCCACTAGGTCAACGATAATAAGATGCTATTTCGCAATCAGCACGCACCACCGCCCAAATTCACCCCCTATTTCAAGGTCTTTAAATGTTTTGCCAATTTCCCCAACAATACCCGAAGAAGCCTGAACCATTGTTGTCTCATTCCCCTCCACACCTGTTTACGTGTTGAAACGGGCCACCAACGCAGCCAAAGAAACCCATCCACCCGCCTTGGAATGCGAGGCACCCCCCCTTGCGTTTTGGGGGAGTGTCCGCATCCGTTTGTCGGTCCGTTTGGCTGTATGTGTCCGTCCGGTCCTTTCCAACCGTCACATGGCATCTCACATTGCCCCGGCCCCGCCACCTCTGATATATTTTCGATGGAGCATATGGAGACGCTGTAACACACCACGTGCTCAACCCCAGGCCCCCCGCAAAACATATCCGAATCGAGAAAGAGATGCCCGCAACTTTATCAGCCCCCCCCAACATAGCCACAAACACGACAAAAGTCGGAAAACGGCTGCTGAAGGTCGACTCTCCTCGGGCTCCCCACCCTTGCATCGTGTGCCCCTACTGAGCACAACACGCCGTAAAATTGGCCAAAGGGCCTTGAGTTGAGTGGCGCACGGCGTGTAGCCCCCGCGGGAGGGCTTTGAATAAAAATCGGACGCTGGCCTGTTTGTCGGGTTTTTTTTGCGGACACCGGGTCAGGAGTTGGACCGTTACTACGTCCTGGTTGGTGAAAAGAGTTTATTCATACCTAAAGCAGACCTGGTAAGACGGACTGTAACGCTCTTATAGCCGATGTGAGATTTTTGGCAGTAGAGATTGACTATCACGAGCAGAGCTTTCTATTTATGATATCCTCTTTTAAAAACTGCGGTCGTCCCCAAATTCCCCAAGCTCCCCCTTGAGCTCGAGCTCAAGCTCAAGTCAAAAAAAATTCCCCAATCTCAAAACCCTCCCCCACCTGCTGTTTTCCTCGAAGGTATTGTGGTGAGCGAACGGCCGGAAAATTGGGCCCGCCGGCCCGTTATGATGGCTGAAATATCTCCGGTGCTCGATGGGCGCCAATTTTTGGCGCAGCTCCGGGGTGGTCGGTCGTAAAGTCAAGGAGCAGCGCTACCAACTCCTCTATGTGGTGGCGCGGGCAATTATAGGTACCCAATTGTTCGACGCATGCCCACCTTGCACGGGGAAGTGAGGCGCGTCGTGTGCTTTACTTTTTCAGCTTTTCATCGAGTTTTTCTCGCTAGATTTGATCCCGTGGTCTTTGGATTTGTCTACTAAAGATCAGATTTATGCTACTTACCGTACCTGTGAAAATCTGTCATTTTATTTAGAAATTGTAGAGCGAAAGTGCGAATTATGTTTTTGTTTTGTTGTCCTAGAATTATTAGTAGTTTCAAGCAGATTAAAGCTGTAAAATTAATGGAATTGTCCTAATCGTTCAGGTGTACCTCGTGTTTGTATATCGGTTGATAAAAAGAAAAAGGTCGCTCAATTATAAGTATACCTCCTATTAAATCTCCCTTTAAGGAGATTGAAAAAGATGAAGTTAAGATAAGTGAAATCTAATGATCTCTTTTGAATATTAAATTTATATAAAGAATCCGGACCCTTCAATACCCTAAAAAACAATCCCAGCATCCCCCATTCTCGATAGCAATGCTTCGATGCTCGCGTTGTCGAGATCCGGTCCAACCTGTCCATATTATGAACATGACATGCATAGATTATCCCCCCCCCGTACACCCGCTACCCAACCCACAACACAATCACATATAAGCATTGTGCTGCTGTGTGCAACCAGTCAACACATCCCTTCCGGCCCTTTTCGCTGCTCCAGCCAGCTGTTTCCCATTATGCGCCATTCCATCGTTCCGATCTTTCCTGGCCACAGCTAGATGGCTAGGTTACAAAATTTGTGCCCGCACTCGGATCGATGGATTGGGCTAGACAGGCGAGGCTATAAAGCTAAGGACTTGTGGATCATTTGTTGCTCAGGGATGGGTGCAATTGTTCTGAGGATTTCAATTTTAGCGATCGGAAATCGGGGGATGGGGATTTGAAAAGAGGGCAATTTACTGCAACCCAGTAAACAAATAAATTAGGGCAATGTGGTGACGGTGGTGAAAGAAAAGTTTGCTTGAAACGTTGGTAGCATTTTGAAAATTTTAAACGTGTGCATTGGAATTATTAAGTATAAATCTATTTACACATAAATACCGTGGCAAAGGGAGCCAGATATAACCTCGTTAAATTCTTTTGGAGGGGTATTGGAGCACATTATTCTGATCTAATCAATAATTTTTTCGGGTGCTTTCAATGACTTAATGACATTTGTTATTGTTTGTTCCTGACTTCAACCCGCCTTGCGAAACCCGTCTTCCCAATTTCGAATGCTCAAAGTCCAAGGAGCAACAGCTGTCCCTCCCTTCGAGCCCATAAGATCGAGCTAACGTTCGTTGTCAACAAGTCCAGCCCTGCTGCGTGCAAGCAAGTCCCACATCCGTCTCCCTCCAAAAATCTCGTGCTGTCCACCCCAGATGTGGCCAGAGAGGACCAGGGCCCATAAATACCCGAGTGCAGATCGAAGACCCGCTCGATGCCATCAGATCGGTTCTATACGGAATGGGGTGGATGGTGTGTAGGGTGGGGATCTCTAGATGGGTCATTGTGATTGGCCATCGCCCCTTGACCCTCGTCGCGCCGTTCACCTTGCCCTCATTCGCTCTCACATGACACCAACACCCTTCCCCCCTCAATATATCCCATTCATCCCCCACTTAGGTCTCACTCCATATGCAACAGTCAGACTTATTAGTTTGTCAGTCCTATGCCTTTAAATCGCTATTTCAGATCAGGATTTAGTGAGATAACTCCAACTAGCTGTTTTGCAAACACCCCAATCAGGCCTTCGGTTTCTCAATTCTTCAGGCTTTCCAGCTAACCGGTCAGCTTTAGATTTTTAATACTCTGCAAACGGTCCCAACACCATCACGCTACCCTATTTTGTACATCTACCTAGCCATACCCTTCCAACACAATACCCACAAACCGGTTCATAACTTTTTTGCGCCCCCCACACAGCTGCCGGCAACCATTTTTCTTCAATTCCCCTCAATAATCTGCTCCCTTCTGCGGTTGCGCCTACCCCCGCCACAAAACGTACAGATCCCGTATCCATCCGGTGTTTGTTGGGTTTCGGGACGACCAGCCGGGAATTCCTGGCCATTCCCGATCTCCTCAATTATCCCTCGCGCCCCGCCACCCGGCCCGCGCAAAACCTTTTTCGCATCCAAAACGCCCGGTTTACCACCACGGCAATGAGTCACAGCCTATCAGCCTGGGTCCCTAAGCTATCCATTTTTCGGTTGGGGGAGTTTTTGTTTTTCGGCGGGCCGCCCGTCACCCGGGCGCGGCCTTGGGTGAGTGACCGTGGGGGCAACGTGCCAGCATGCATGGTTTTTCTCTCCGAATTCACGGATTTTCAACGAGGGAGGGCTGAGGGAGTGGTAGAGAAAGATAGAAAGGCACGCGAAGGGTTACCCACTGGGTCTACGGCCATTATAAGGGGCTGTTGAGGGCGCGGAGAATCGCCAAAAATCGCGCGAGTCAGGGCGGGGTCGTGCGGGCGCGGACCGCCTCGCGATGAGGTTTTGTATTCTATTCATGTCACGGCGCAGGTTGCATTGTATTGCGATGGTTGTTTTCTTGTTATGACCGTTGACAGTTGATGTGTAATTCAAAACATGTAACGTTTTTTTCAGAAAAGATGGTGAAGCTTGACACGAACTACCTCACGACGCGTCGCGGTCTCATCCGCATCGCTTTGATCGTGTGCGGATTTGCCGTTTGCACGCTGCTCTGCAACGATTGGTAGGTTTTCTGCCGTTTGCATTAGTCCTTTCATAATCATATTTTATCATATAATATTTTTTCAGGTACGGCGGAAAGTCCTGCTTCAACGAGGGCCGTCTCGGCGGTGTTTCTGGCGCCAACTTCATCGCTGTTGTTGTCAACATTGTCTTCTTCGTCCTCGCTTTCCTCAGCATCACTAACTATAGCTTTGTAAGTCTATATTTTCAATCATAGACAGATGCCGCTAACAAATAATTAACTGTTTTTGTTTCTAGGAGCGTCTCTGGGCCCTGATCGGCGCCATCGTGTTCGCGATCTGCGCCGCTTTCATGATCTGGTACATCATCGAGGATGGACTCAAGAACAACGTCACGCTCCTCCCAACGGTAAGCACCTTTTTTATTTCATTAATCTCTATTTTTAGGCCCTCGTGGTCGTGGAATTCCTGCTCTTCGTCTGGGACTGGCAGATCCTCCGCGGCGAGGCTTAGACCAATCGCCGTTTTTTATAGAATTTCTTTCTTTGTGGAATTGTTATGTATTCCAAATATGCATTTATTGTTCAAGCTTTTTGCACCCTTTGAATCTCAGCACCCACCCAAAACATATGATTTCAATTGCCTTTTTTTCAATAAATTGTACATATCTTGCACGAGCGCAGCCAAATCAAAAGCTTGTTATAGCAAAAATCTATTTATGTACGGAAGTAAAATGTATTATGAGAGTCGTTTAGCCATGGGTGATCTCCGAGTGAATACGGGCTACATGCAAACACAACGAGGTATCATCAAGATCCTCGAGATTGTGCTTGGTTTCATTGTGTGCTGCATGATTTGTACATCGCTGTAAGCGACAAAGGTTAACAAAAAAGTACATGAAGAGTATTGTATCTGTTCTTTAACGGTATACTAGTGTCGTCTGTTTATAAATCCTTAGAAAAACGATGTTCATGCACTACCGGGGAAAATCGACATAGGTTTTCCCTCCAGTAATGTGTGAGTTTCCTAACCACTAGCTACTAAGACATATCGATTTTAACAGTTAGCGTCGTGTATTAATAATTTGCAAATTTTCTAAATCGACGCATATAGGCTAATAGACGCTTTCTGCGATTTTTGATCACTTACAACCCGTTATAAATATTGTTATTATCCAGCAACCACAATTCTTTTAAGTTTCGGCGGCCGATCATGCTTCTCCGATTTCCGCATGTCTTTCACATCGGCCCTCTGCTTCGTGGCCACCGTCATCAATGTGGTGCTGTTCATCATGAACTTCCTCAGCATGGGCCCAGCTAATCTTGTTGGTTTTTAAACAATCTATTTTTCCTGTAATGCCGGTCGTCGCATTGATCGTACTCGCTTGCATCCCCCAGCGAAATTGCCCGAAAAAATTGTTTTCCTGCGGGTAGCAGGCAGAGAGGGCTGTCAACGGGGGTTGTACACGGCAGTTTGCCAGCGAAAACATTCCCTAGCGCGGATTGGGTCTGGCTTGTGAAACCTGTGATTGATCACATATGCATAGCAAAGGAGAGTTTTCACACAAGCATGTGTCACATAGATAAGTACAAGCAAATAAAAGGCTGTTAGAGTGCAAAAAATACAAAGAAAAATGAATAAACTACGAATTCAGGAGCGAATCTACTCTCTCGTTGCGGCTGTGCTGTTTCTGATCGCTGCCATCTTAATCCTATGGTTCTTGATCGAGATGAGCTCAGGACGTGTTCTTCTCATCTTCACTTTTGTAAGTCTTCATAAAACTCGCTCAACTTCACATTATCTAAATTTATTTTACACTAAATTTTCTATTTTCAGATTCTCCTAATCCTCCAGCTCGCGCTCTACGCCTTTGACTTCAAGATCCTGCACGGCCTTGCCAAATAAACAAAAGCGGCACGCGTCAGTAGCACTACCGCAAACAAATGTCTTGCCACCTCCACCCACTTCTATATATTTTTGTAATTTTCCGACAACTCTCCAGACCGAATCTCTCGGTGTTGTTGCCCTTATCTAGTTGTCCATCTCCTTCCTTCCGTCTACTTTGTGGCTTAATCAAAAAAACATTCCGCCTTCCCTACCATGTGACCAATTTTTAGATCTCCTCCATTTTTGTACGAAGTTTCCCCTTTCAAGAGTTCAATGCCTGATGAAGCGTGGGCAAACAGAAAGTCGTGAATTGTCTTTGGACTTTGTTTATTCGATAAAAGGGGTGATCGGGTGGTTTTTCGTGGAGGGCACAGGGATCGATGTCTTGGAAAAGGAGAAAAACAGATAGATGTTTACCTGACTGCCCTTTGTGATGAGCAATGGGGTTTTGGAAAGGAAGGGACGGGGGGCGTGGATTCTTGGCGAGGGTGGCGATCCGGGTAAATAAAAGTCGAATCATGGCGGGGTAAGGTCTTATTTGGCGCTGAGGTTTCAGATTCAGGGCCCTTCTTAAAATTTTCAGCATTGCTTATATGTTACCGCTCTCGTCAATCTTTTTTCGGAACTCGCTTACTGTAGTTAAATAATTTCAACCGAAAAACGCAGGAAATTTTAGAAATTTTCTGAATTTTCTACTATTTCCCGCACCTCAGAACAACATGAATATGCACCTGGCAATGGGAACCGACATCAACTCTAATGTATCTGTTTTTCCCCGAACACGCGCACTTTCGAATTTATCACCGACTGCCCGCCCCGCAATCGTCCCTCAAATAACTGGAAAACAACCGCCGGCTTTTCATTCCTCTCGCTCGCTTGCATGTGCCAACTGTCCCCCCAATCCACACACCACATAAAAACTCTCCACGACCTCATTCCCGTTTATTGCATTTCAAAATTGGTATTTTCCATTCCGAAACGGCCGGTAGTCCACCCGATTGAGTCATGCTTTAGAGGAGGCTTTTCAAGGGGAGGAGTTTGGAGGCTCATAGCCGCCGGGTTGGCCACTGAAAAAGTTCGGGTGGAGGCGGTCCTGGAGGCATCTTATCTTGGGGTCGGGGCGGATGTTTTCGAGACCGCGGGGGGAGGCGGCTGTTTTTGTTTAGAGTCGTCCGCTCAACCTCCCCTCTACCGTTTCAGATTTCCCGCCCCAGCACCCGGTCCTTTTTCCTTCCCATTCTACGATCCGGCCACCATTCCGCTGGCCCCACCCCTGACAAAAATACTCACGCGCTCACACATTTCGACGGGTGGGCGCGGGTTGGGAGGGTGATCTCCCTCTCTCTACCCTTCAGTATCCATGTCATGCTGTTTTTCCAAAGTTGGCTAGGTACCGTAGGCTGGGCATTGTTATAGAGGATAGGTTTTGCCTATGTAGGTACACTAATAGACGGTTTGTCAGATTTAGAGGTCGCCGTTTTCAGCGACTGTGCTTTGCCTTAAACTTTCTGGAACTTACGAAAATCGGCTAGATACGGTAGTATGGTATTCTTACCGTAAATAGCCTTTGATATGTGTGTTGGAATGTATTGTCGTAGATGACTATTAACTGAGTTCAGCAACCCTGTAGATCATCCCGAAAATGTTATTAGTTACCATCAGTCGACCAAGTGAATTTCAGACTCATTAGTGCTTCAGTCAAATCAAATTTATATTTATCTATTGCAACTTCCTTCCAATAGAACCACTGCAAAACCACCGTATCGCACCCGATTTTACCCACTTTTACGCAACGCCCTTAATCACCGGTAAACATCCACCCTCCCCTCCCTACATCATTCCCGTAAAACCGGTCCTAATTTCGTAAAACCCACCCATTCAACCCTCTTTTTCTATTCTGCACATCACCTTCCTTCCCCCAACCTACCAACGATCAACCTTTTCAGCAACCTTAACCGAAAATGGGCGACATCCGCTTCAACTCCGGCTACCTCCAGACCAACCGTGGTGTCATCAAGATCGTCCAGATCATCATCGGCTTCATCATCAGCGGACTTTACTGCGGTGGATGGTAAGCGCTAACACTAGCCTCTCAAACTATCCGTCTTTTTCTAGGACCAAGGGTGGATGCTATGGATACGGACAACTCGGCTATGCTACCAGCTTGAACTCAATTGTGACCATCATCAACATTGTCCTCTTCATTCTCAACATCCTTAACCTCAAGTTCTGGAAGCTGGTATGGAAAAGCATTTGGACACTCAATCAAAATTTTAGGAGCGAATTTACGGAATCATCTGCACGGTGCTGTTCCTGATCGCAGCCGCCCTGATGGTGTGGTTCTTGGTTGTTGAGTCGAGGAACTACAACTCGACCTCGGTTATTGGAACCGTAAGTTTTAAACCAAATCTAATAATAATATAAAATTAAATTAAAACTTCCTAATCCTTAAATAATTTTCCAAATCGTTTTTCCAGATCCTGATCGTCGTCCAATTCCTTCTCTTCCTGTGGGACGTCAAGATCCTCCAAGGAGAAGCCTGGAACTGAAATCTCATCAACTGAATCTCCAAAACAGAAACGCTTAGATAAAATTTATTTTTCAAACCCCCCATATCTGGTGCTTCTTCCAATAAATTTTTCTGGCTTCAACTGCAGTGCAGGGCAAGACAATTTGTTTCGGCACTGAATCATTGTTATGGGGGCTGGATTGCCAAATACTTCGGAAGCAGAGGACTCGGTCTTGGCTCCCCAGAAGTCATTCCTTCCGTTTCTGCGAGATGGGCATCAAATTCAATTCGCGATACTGGCAAACTAATCGAGGGATCATCAAGATTCTCCAAATCATCATCGGATTGTTGATATCGGGATCATGGGGCTTGTAGGTTACTTAAACTCTACTATAACAATTATCAGGTATCGTGGGCACGGCAACTACCAAACTAACACGGGATATTCAATTAACTCCCTTTGCCTACTGATCAACATCGTCTTCTTTGTCCTCCATTTGATTAACATAAAAAACTATAAATTGGTAAGTCGGAAGCCTCTTCAGACATTCCGCGACTCGATTCCTGAGGTCAAAACGCATTCATCCGTACTCACAGCGATCTGATGATCGTAGAAAGCTAAGACAAACACGTAAATAATTTTTTGTGCAACTGAAATCATATCAACGTAATACTTACAGGAGCGTGTGTATACGATTATTGGCATGATACTCTACATCATCATCGCTGCGTTGATCATTTGGCACTGCTTTGACTATCATGAGAAATATGGTCTAGGTTGGGACCTTCCCTACGTGGTATGTGGCTAATGTTGTGCTTTGCGTACTTAGAGAGGATCGCAATATATTGTAAACGGCTTTGAACTGTCGGTCCATAACCCCACTAAGCAGTTCATCTATGTCGGGATGGCGATCCTCTACCTTTGGGATTTCCAAATCCTGAACGGCGATGCATCGGACTAAACGACAGCGTGGAAGATGAAGCTTACCCAATGACCGCCGCTTGCTGAATAAATCTTTTAATTGTTGTCTTGGCTAACGGTAAAGACACTGGAATGTACGCATGCTCATTTATTTCGGGCCTTGGACCACCTGGATGCCGGGCGATTGTCGCCTGTTTGTTGGAATGAGAGAAAACGGCTCAAGGCGGATGGGGCCCGCTGAGCCGTATTGATTGGGACACATGCATTGGGCCACAGACGTTTTTCTTGCTTGTGTTTTTACGCTATTTTTTTGCTTATGGCAACCGCGGGTTTCCTGGAGGAGTTATATATTTTAGATGTCCGAAGGTCAATGGTCTGGGTTGCCATTGGTAGTTTTGGAGTCCATTTTCGATAAACTTCCAATAAAAAATAAAGGCCGATGCGCTCAGGTATGTTTTTCCTAATTTAGAGGTTTCAAACCCAATTTAGGTCTGCTATGACTGGTATCTAGCTTCTAAAAGCGAAAGATCGTGGCGCTATTTTCGATATGAAGACGATATTTTTGTGCGCAGAAAATTCACGCAACATTCCGGCTGGCAGAATCACATCGATCATTATCGATTGAGGTAGGCTTTTGACCTCCATTAAAGCTATTTTTCTTAGGTTTTTAACCGCAAAAACCGTAACGAAATGGAAACGGTTTGAAGTTCTGCCAGTCAGTAGCCTCTCGCATATGTATGAGTTTCTACGGGTTCTGTCAAATTTCTCTGAATATTACGAAAGGAATGCCGGTGAAGAGCCGCTCTCCGGGCTCCAATCATTTCAATTTGAATGGGAAATGCACGTCCCCAAGGAGGGCGCCGGCGTCCATTTCGACCATGTGGGTAAATAGAGTTTGACGGCACAGAAATCAAGATTTAGAAAGAAAACAAAAACGAGCTTTTAGGATATCGGGACTGGTGGTACTATGTTAGCTGGGATATGGCTATTTCTGCAACATCTTTTCGGCTTGAAAAGTTTGGCGTTAATTAACCTACAACTAGCTGAAAGGGAATTTAACCCGTTCATGGAAAAGGTACGCCGCTTTTTAATGATTCACTTGGTTGTTTTTTTTAGATTTGGACCTTCTTTCAAGATCGGCTCGAAGAATTGTATTTCCTAAATGCTACTCTATACCGCAAACCAGTCTTGTATCTGGGATTGTTTTTGAATCTCCGGAAACTCGTGGTCTCTCCACAACATTTGGATGACGATTGCTTAATTTTAATTGGCGATTTACGAAGTTTGAAGACATTCATGATTGTCCAGGTGCAGTCATTTTACCAATGTCTAGCTTCGTGTTTTGTTTAGACTGAAAAGACCTCCGAACACCGAGCCTGTTCACGCAATTCTTGGGAAATTTTTGAAAAGGGAAACGGCGGGCGAACTAGACTGTATCTTGTCCTCAAAGGTTTGTGGAGACTAGCGAGTTAACAAAGGTGAAGGAAACCTTCAGAAGTTGTTTTAGGAAAAGGACGCCTCCCTATGCTGGTCCAACCAGGTGCCCCAGTAAAATCGATAATTTGGGAGAAGTACAATGGGCAACTTACTTATGACCTAACGCAAAATGTGAAGATCGTATTTAGAAATATATTTCCATGATAGATTATTGCCGAGTATCAGAACTGTTTGGAAGAATTTGTACAGCAAGGAATAGAACGAAGAAACCGGTCTAACTTTTTTGTAGATCGGATAGATGTTGGAGCCGTGGAATTAGCTTTGAGGTAATAGTCGCCTAATAAATAATTATAATCAGATTTAGATGTAAACGATTAAAATATATGGCCTTAAGAGAGCGGCTTTCAAATGCAACCGCCCTCATCCTTGCGAATCTTGCAAAACAAAACGAGTTCCGATTGTGTTTAAGGAAAAATGCACTTCTTTTAAGGGTACGTTCTTTTTATATAACCGCTATATAAATTTAGAATTGCTGGGAAAAAGCAGAAATGACTTTTCATGATATCCCAATCGTGAGACGATATCTATTAGACCACTGCTTTTCCTTCGACTCAACTATCGATGAAATTCGTAAAGTCACGGGTAATGTACAAAGCGTTATGGGTGATCAAGAATATAAAGGACTTGTTCGTTAAAATGGTGAAATTGTTTGTGATAATTTTATGATCCGGTGAAAAGAATAAAAATTTATTCATTTGATGATCGACTAGATTTGGGTTCTCCTGATGAGAGAATGATTTCTTCAGCTTCCAACGCCCATTTTTGTAATATAAAAAATGCGATGGTAGCAATTATTGTGAATATGGACAACAGTGAAAGTTGCCAATAAAGGTCTAGTGAGGACGAGAGATAGAAACAGATTCCAGCTGATCCAGCCTGGAAGTGAAATTTGGGGGTAAGGTTTGAAGCTAAACCTGGAAGAATTGGAATAATGCAAATGCCGGCGCGGCATCTTTATCTTTATAGATACCACCAGCAATCGTGTAGGATTGAGTTTGCCAGCAACTATCTCCAAGGCCAAAGATGAAAGCCGTTATTAGTGAAAACCACAATCTAAATATGCCCTGAGTTATTATGACCATTTTCCATACGTTGGTTCAATAATCGCCATCTCGCTGGTCACCATTTGTGGAGAATCTTTAGGAAGAAATAGGAAAGACATGAAGAAAGCCGCTAATAGCAAAACGCTTCCCAGGCCGACCACAGCTCTTCTGCCATAGGGTGATGGGCTTCGTGCTCCCACTCCGAATAGTAAGCCACCTAAAATAAAATCTTGCTGAAAAAGTTATTTAACCAATACCTATTATTTCGCCCAGCCCAATAGCCAAGACATTGTAGGCAATGCTGGCTTCATTCCTTTCGAGGCGAGAAGTTGCTAAATCAATCTCTGAGACGCTATTTTTCCTCTTACCTGCCAGAGCCGCTCCATAAACACCACTGTGAAAAACTCCCTCGGCTCCTAAGAAGCATGTCACAACCGTCAACATTCCCATTTTCGGGGTCTTCATCAACGAAAAGGTTCTTCCTGAAAAATTGCTTGTCGCTAGACTTCACGACTTACCAAAAACTTCTCGCGTGGGTTGAATTTCGGGTATCTCCAATTTTGCTCCTAAATTTAGAGTAATCCTAGCAACACAATCTCTCACCTCTTCCCATAGGTAGCAAGGCCAATATAACAGCTCCTAGGAACGCCAACAATCCAAATACTCCATACATCAGTTGGTACGACGCAACCAGATCCCTATATTATTTTCAAAAATCTGGTCACAGATTCATACCCATTATGCAGGACGACTGCTAGAAAAATGGCGCCTGCTATCAATGCCATTTGCAGCCCAGTCCACATGATCCCATTATTGCGATGTATATGGTGTTTGGGGGAATGTCGTACGAGATTAACGCCATTACCAGTCCAAATCACTGTAAAAGATCTTCCAAATCTAGTCCAAAATAACCTACAGGCAGATCCAAATCCTAAAAGAAGAGCTAACGAATATAATAGCCAGCCTCGTAGGTACAAAAATCCAAACATATAAAGTGCGTAACAAAGGGCGCCAAACGCCATGCACCACTGGATTGTTCATAATTAGAACCTTCATAAGTTACTCACTTTTGCTCCTACAACTGCTAGTATCGGTGGTGCTAAGAAATTGCTGAATGTAAATGCTAACGATAGAATGGCACTTCTAAATTTGAGATTTCGTAGACTTTCATTAACTCACGCATAATAACCCGATTGTGCAGAAATCCCGTAAATTGGATCGGACGCTAAATTTCGTAAAACGGCAACCTAGAAATTATGAAAAAACTTCTAATCTACCCACCACTATAAATATCTGCCCATTATAGGCCAACAACACAAAAAAGAACCCGATACATTGTTGGATAACGACAAATAGATCAGGGACGTCGCAGGCCAGCATTTTCCTATAGCAGAATACTTTGCAGCGCAACGAACCCTCAATTTGTATGCAGAAACTAAGTTGCGAACCGGTATAAAAACGGTTTTTGCATAATACTGGAACACGGCTAGGCTCGGTAGATCGTTAAATATTCAAAATGACCTGAGTAATCCGGTAACACTCGGCCTGGTCTGCGTGTTCTGGTCACTCAAAGTGGTTTGCTCATCGCAAGGGAAGTGCTCGAACGGCACTCGGCAAATCGATTGAGAAGGAAGTGGATAAAATAGGATAGAATACAAGGTTTTGAGAAATCGCAACATACTTTGAAACATGTCTCATTCGTAGAACCAAAGCAAAGGCTAGACAGTGCGCTGCTTGGATTTTCGCAGGCTGATTTGCGAGCCCGGAAAAGTGTGTTGTGTGTATTGGACTCGTCAATTCAAGGAATTTAAAATAAAATTTATCAAATACTCAATCACAGGCTAGATGTCGGTCCCAGAGGGAATAGTTGGCAAAACGAAACATACAAGCAGCTCCGCGCATCCCGCTAGTTTGCGTGTCCATTTTCATCCCCGGGCACTTGTGTTTGTTCTTTGAAGGCCCATCGCTGGACGGTGAAGAAACAGAAAGTCGAGATAATGGCCAGAACGGCGACGAAAGCGAGGATGATATGCAATTCGAAGAGTTTTCCGCAGAAATATCCGAAGCACGCAGCTCCAGCCTAAAATCATGGGATTTCGGCGGCTGTGGCGGGAAATTCAAATAGTGTCATTAATGCGTCATATGTTTCTAGTCACTACAGTAGCTTCGACAACACATTAATGACATTCGCCACGGTTCTAACCTATTTATACCTGGAAGAACTTGAGCAAAGCATAAGCCGGTGCGGTATTGCTCTCCCTCCATACGCCTCCCACCATCGTCATCATTTGAGCCTGCCAGCACGAATCCGCGACACCGAATAAGAACCCGATAAGCAGCACCAAGGCAGAACTAATTTTAATAGTTACTACAAATGGATCTTTGGATCCTGACCTAGTAGCCATCAAAGGCAGATCCTCTGTCTTTCCCACTGCCGCTTTCCATGGAATAATTAGGGCACACAATCCCCAACCAATCATCATCAAAACAGTTCCCACTAGGATCACCCAACGATTTCCGAACGTTGACTTCTTCTTCCGTTCCATAACTCGGAAGAGAGCGCCAGCTAGAAAGTATTTTTTCAGAAAGCTTCATGTTTTGACTTACCCGCAATAGCTCCAGCTCCAAAAGCTAGCACGATATACGGTAAAATGAATTGATGACTTTCAAAGCTTCTTGTAGCTTAAAAAGGGTCAGTCATTCATTTCTTTGAGAAGCTCCTGAACAAACCCTCAATACTAGGCGGGAATACGCCAGTGGCCACGACAGCTTGAACGCCAAGGAAAAACGCTGGAGTCAACATCACCGCCATTTTCTTCGTCGCAATCAGTTTGAAGGTGCTTGCTAATAATTTTTAAATTAATTTTTGCATCTTACTAAAAGCTTCGCAAACAGATGGGGTCTTGGACGTAGGCGTAACGGACATCGGAGGGTCTTCTGGATTTTCGATGATCGGACCAGTTTCTGCTGCTTCTAAATTAGATAAGTTTGACAATATCCAACAAATTCTTTCCTCCAGGGATTTCATCGCGGCGTGTTGTCTTCTTAACGGGCAGTAAAGCCAAGGTCAGCACTCCAACTCCCGAAATTATCGAAAAAATCAGGTAGACAAATTTGTAGGCGGAGGTTAAAGAGCTAAGTAAATTATTTATGCAAGCTCCCAAAAAATACTCTTTTCCTAAAAAGAAGGCGAGTAGACTCGATCCGGCCAGAAGTGATGTCTGCATCACTGACCACATAATAACCGTATTTGTAGGTAGATTCTCTTTTTTAGAATGTTCCACCAGGTACACGCCATTGGCGGTCCAGAGGACTAAAACGGAAAGTTTTAAATTATTTTAGTAAAACCTCCTGCCCCAACTCCATTCAAAGCAGAAGCGGCATAGTACAACCATGTTTCCAAATGAAGAAAAACGGCCATGTATCCGACATACGTTGTAGCAGCAATAACTAGTGACCACTGAAACTGCCTCTTAAAATCTTAAAAAAATTCGTACCTTCGATCCTAGTTTAGCAATAACTGGTGGTGCAATAAGGTTTGAGAACATAAATGTAAAGTACAGAATGCTTTTACTAAAATAATGGTTAATTATCAAATTTAACCCTGCCTATTATATCCGGCATCTGGAGCTATTTGGCCTTCTTCGGCGAGATTTCGAATAACCGGGATCTGGAAGGGCTCATTTAAACTTTTCCAAAAGCTCCCACTTACGACAATGAAAGACTGCGTATTGAAAGCGGCAAAAATAAAGAAAAACCCGAGCCCCAGCTGGATCACGGCAAACAATTCCGGATTTTGCCATCGTTGCCCAGGTTCGAGCTGGCTTCTCGGGATCGGCGGCCGAGCCTGAAATCGATGTTGGGCAAGTTTGCACCCCCTCAAGGTCATTGTGCTCAAAAGTCAAAGGGCCTAGGGGAATGATCGCAACATTTCGAGACCAAATGAATCGAAAAAGAAGAAATTGATCGCGCCGAGCCATTTAAAAATTGTGAGCCGTAAAAACCCCCAGAAAAAGGTTGAACGCGTGATTTTGGGCTGGGCGATAAAATATGAAAAATCGCGCAAGCTGATTTCCCCCCGGCAGTTATCTCTCCCAACGATTTGACCCGTTTTTCGCAAGGAAAGGCTTTGGGTGAGAACAATGATGCTACCTTTCATTTTCCAATTTGTCTCGGCTGCTGTATAGCGCAAGGTTCGTGGGAATATTAGTTGGTAGAGGGTGAAACAAGGAGGGCCAGTGAAAATAAACGATATCAGTATAAACTGGGGGGTTGACCACTCGGTTTATCGCCTTTTTGGGACAGGGGTGGACAAAGAAGCTAAAAAGAGGCTAGGCTTGTCTGAAAAAAAGGTAAAAATAAGTGGCTCTATGTTTTAATTTGGCGAAATTTTGTAGTTAGATAGCCAGCTTCGGAACGCGATGAAGCTTAATTGCCATTTCTTGACTATAGCCTCCATTTCCAAGGATCGCACGCTCTTTAATCACACTAAAAAACTCCTTCCTCTTCTCTTTTTTCCGCTTCTCACACCTAATTCCTTTCCATTGTTTCAAAGCCCACTTCGTACCCGTTCTGCCCCCTCCCCTCTCCCGGATCCCCGATCCGATAATGAATCCGCGAAAAAACAAAAAGCCCTCCACCATCCAAACGGGGTCACCAGCGCCGCGTGCATTCCCCCCGGCCCGCCGCTCGCCACCGCTTCGAGGCCATCTTTTTTTTGTTTCGAACCGTCTGAGTCGAGCTTTCAGCGCTTCCCATCATTTTCTGCTCTGCCCCTCGATCGGGATGGACCTAATTTCGCGTGAATTTCGGTATTGCTCGACCCATAGGGGGGGGAGGAAGGTGTGACAAATGGTTTTTGGATTTTGGAAGCGACATATTGAGTTCGTTGGGTGGTTGGGTCGGCGTTCCGTGTTACTGTAAGGAACATTTTCCCCTATTTCCGCCTTTCCTTTCATCTCGCTCCTCGAGGTCTCGTAACTTAAGTTTTGCCTGAGCTTCGCTTTCTTTTGTTTTGATCAAATTGTCGGAAAAACCAAAGGATCCTTTGTTCTTTCGCGTTGAATTTTATCGCTCAGCAGGTCCTGCATAATTTTAGTTTAATCACAGATTTCAATATGTACAACTCCAATTTAGATTTTACAGTAGTTTTTCATAGTCCCTTCTAACTCTGAAACCAAACTCAAACCCCTTCTCCAGTCACAAAACCTGCCACCGCAACCAATAACTCATGCTCAATACCGTGAGAACTTGCCAACTCCCAGCCCACTCGCCAACTCTCGCAACGACATATCCGCTTCGCTTGTTCAGAACTCTCCTCTTGACAATTATGTCTTCGATTTGGTATCTACTGCGGGCAAAGGGGATGAACGCGGAACCGGATCTGCGAGGGCCATTTCGTGTTCACGGTAACCCGAGCAGCGCTCTGCTCTAATCGGTTGCACATCACCGCCCCAAAAAGTGACCGGAGCTCCGGCATGCGACCCAAATTACGCATCTTTTTGTGAATTATTTAAATCCCTTTTGTTCTATTTGGTTATGATTTTACTGTTGTATTTTCGGCTTGTGCTTCATAGAGCTGATCCGGTAGATTGGGGCTAAAACAAATGGATCCCCATTTCTCGTATTTAATAGCGTACAGTCGTGGAGTCTGCTGACCACAGTGCTCCATAAAACTTTTTTTACGATGGATGCTATGACATTATGGGGTCAGCTTACAACATGCGCGCAGGGTGACGGGCCGCTGCGTTTCCGGCCCCGCCCCTATCCACGTTTAGTGCATTTTAAAAGATTTATGATCCACTCCTAGCGAGGATTTGTTTATTTCCAATCCTTGAATATATTTTGAGGATTTGTTCTGAATACTGCATTTCAAAATTTTATAGGGGTGCCACAATCCCATTTTTATCGCGAATCGAATTCAAATAAAAAGAACGACACCATCTCGAGTTTTTATGAGCTTTTCCCGCCTGTCATTTTGTCCGATGGCGGCTCGGCCGAGCCGTGGATCGATTGTGTCAGGACGACGGATATTGTGGTGTCTGTCAATCAACTGGCGGCACAAGCTAAAAATTGCCTGTGGCACATGATAAGGATCCAGAGGACTGGCGGCTCGGGCTCAATGGCCGTCAATTCTCAGTGTTTTTTGTTGATTTTGTAGTTCGAATTTCGGTTGTCGCTTTGATTTTGGTTTTTGGCAAAGCAGGAGTTTCTGGTAATTTGAAAACATTTGCCTTCACGCGGAGAAATTTGATATATGCTAATTCCAGACCCCCCTCCCCTTGGTTAAATTTATCCTCCCCCGAGGTAGAGCAAGAGCTTCAATAGCTTGATTTCCGAGAAAACACAAAATTTTTAGAGCCTATGCATATGTTTCAACCACAAAACCTTGTATCTTTCGGAATTACAAGTGTAATATGCAGATTTATGGCCTTGACCTCCCCCCTAGTCAAACTTTTTAATCCCACTCACCAAATCCGTATGCCCTCCAGCTCTAAACGGGTCCATTCCCTCCTCATAGTCGACTATTTGCCTGTTTGTCCCGACACAGCGACTTTATCGAGCGTCTTCTAAAGAGAAGCCGCAGCGTGCGGGAGATGCGGGAGCGCGGATGAAATATTCAGTGGAGGACACAACGTGCGCTTAGCCTCCGGGAGGCCCAAAACTGACTGACATCTCTTGCCTAGCTAGCCCTATTTACACAAGGGTCTGCGCCCCCATGAATATCTATCAGTAGTGCAAATTCCCATCATTGTCCACAATGGCGTTGTTGTGTACTTTACGAACGGATGTTTTGAGGGTTTTTAAAGGGATGGAGACAAGGTTTTTTGGATCCATTAGCTAACCTAAAAATTCCGTAAAAATGCTTTTCGGCCACTTTGGATCTACAAGGAATGGCGCTGTTTTCATTGCCCGTCTCCTCAGCTGACCGGCAAGACCGGATAATGGGTGGAACATCAAAGAGTCCGATTTTTCACAGCCGGTGCCGGAGAGCCCGTTCGGTTCGACAATATCGTGGAATCGATAAAATATACAAGCCAAAATTGAGCATCTTCATGTATAATGTAGGGCCTTCGCAAAAAATCTTCTTTGATGGCCTTTTCAAAAACAAACCTACAATCCCTGGCGTAACCTCTTAGTCTTACAACCCCATTGACATTTGACATAGTGTGTTGTCTAGGGCTGAAGGGCCGGAATGAAATGTGCGTGTTACACACCGGACGGGTCGAAGGGCCACTCGTAGTGCCCCGTTCCGAACCGAAGCCACACGAGTCTGTTCCCCCGTGCTCTATTTCTCTCATTCTCTCCCCCTCTCATGTTAAGGGGGTGACTTGGACGAGATTTCTAGCCACATCCCTGGCGGCTGCTCTCAGTCATGCTCCATGCTTGATGTCAATCATTTTTCGGTGAGGCTGCTCATCAGATCCATGTTTTTTGTTCGCAAACCAGAAACCTGGAAGCTCAGTATTAACTTTGATATCCCCATAGGATTAATACGCTATAGCTACAGTAATCGTATCAAAGCCCACTCCCTGCCACTCGGATTATGGCCATTTACTGATTTATTGCAATTGAAGGCAGGCGCTGCCGGGGCCCCCCGGGTGACGGATCCCGCTTTTCCCAGCCAAAATTGCCATCGGGACGGGCATGAAGCTTGAGAAACGGACATCTTGCCGGGGCCAACTGGTCCCCTGCATACTCCGTTTTGTCATTAGTAATGGGCCGGAATTTAGACGAGGCTCTATGAATAGACGGCAGCAATGATCATATGGTATCGGAGTTTTTGCCTTATTTTGCCGGATTGCTTCTAATCTGAGTCCGGCTCCTTTTTTTCTGAATATTTCTTTTGAGCAGTTAAAATATAGAAAATAGGTAGTTAAGTTGACCGATTCTGGCCAGCTCATCGATTTTGGCGCCTCTTTTTAGAACGCCTAAAACGTTTATAAATATTTTTCCAAATTCTAAATACGATTTTGAAAATTTTATTAGGGGTTGATTTTGTCGTTTAAAAGGGTTCTACCAGAGGTCGGCTATTAAACAAATACGCTAGACGCAAGACTAGATGCCCTCACGTTCCTTAACCTCCACTTCCTTAACTTTGCAAAGTTTCCTCGAACTCCCGGACTCTTGACCGATAAAAGCACAATGTGTTGGCGGGGAGGGGCTTTTGCAGTCGCGGGCGGGATGGATATTTGCCTTGAGAGCCGGCCGGCCGGTCCTCCAGCGGGGATCACGAAAAAAGCCGCTTTCCTAGGGAGTAACTATCCAAGGCGACCGCTAGATCTCGATCTCCACCCCCCGGGACGCTATTTGCTCAATTTGCGCGATGGCGCGTGTGAAGGGCTGAGGATCAATTTAGAGTTTTTGCCTTAGATGTTGGCCCTTCTGGTTTCTATCAGTTTAATACACCAAAGGCTGTTTTGACTATATCAATCGGCAATTTTTTGTAAACCTGCTGAACTCCTTGATCATCCCTTGTCAAATAGATTTGCGCAAATCTTAAGAGCCAGAAATCTTTAAATAAATTTTATCTCTTAATTTCATAACCAATACATATATGCAAGTCCAATCAGATCGAAGGGCTTCCTTTCCTTTCCAAAGTGATTTCGCAAAATTTTTGAAACCCTTAACCTGAATTTATATAATAAAGATAAGCCATTTGCGAGGGGTGAAATGGCCGGGCCGTTCCGTTTCTGATAATCGATCCGACATGTCAACAATCGGGAGCGGCCGCAAGAGAGCCGAGTGGACGGGGTGGAGGCCGAACCCGGCAAAAATCACCTCTCCTCATCGATACCTAGTACTCTTCTCCACACACAGACACATACGCACACCTATTCGCAGACCGACAGTCCTATATACCCGTTCCCCACCAAGGTTCTCCTTCCAAATTCCACCCGGCTGCCTGGAAAATGAGCAAAATGTTTATGTTCCTTTTCTGTTTCTTTCAATTCGATGATGTATTTAGGAATGCAAATTAAATACCTAATTAAGCTCGATGTTTAATAAAACACCATTTTTCCTTGTTTTTTTTTCTGCGACTGTATTTGATCTGAGCAAATAGAAAAGCCGGCTGCCGATTTTTCACTTTTCCACAGATTTCGCACATTCACGGATTTTTTCCACTATTTTCCTCGGTTTTTGCAGACCTGTACCGTA